CAAGTGACATGAAAGCATTACTGCAAGAGGATATAGATCAAAACAGAAATGATCAATTTTCGAGTGATAATGAGATGGTATTCAGAAATGAACCAAAGCTTATTCCTATTACACCTGTTACACCAGGTATACAGCGTCAAAGACCTATACTGGCTCGTGCGGTAAAAACTGCTCAGAAATTTATAAAAGACGATTCATCTGATGAAGAGAAATAAATTAGAGAAAGATTAATCACTAAAAACTGCTTTCTCACTTGCGTATTATCATTTAATAAAAAAAAATCTGCATTGTACGTTATATTTATTCAAAAATATTCCATGCTAATATAAAGCATAGAAACCTTTTTTTCTTTGCCATTTTCTTCCTATTTTCTTTTTTTTTTTGTTGTCTAATACATTCCATATTGGTTGCCTTATAATTAAATCATTTCGTTTTATTGATTTCAATTCTTAATCAAGCTAATCATTTCCTATTGCATTTCTGCCACCATTTATAAGAAATAAAATATGTAGCGGAAGATATATTATTCTTGAAATTAACCAATCAAAATTTTCATATCATTTTGTAATCTAATATCATTTCATTTTTAAAGGGTCATTGTGGTACATTCGTATTAATTTTCATTACAAATACTTTTACCACAAATTTCAAATATGCAGATATTATTATTTAACTTGTAAAAATTGATAATTGGCATTATTTACGCATTGCATTTTTCTTTATTTTTATTATTACCTACAATTCCAAAGATAAGCAAATAACAAAATAACTTTGTATTTTTGTATTCTATGCACATTTTCATGTAATTTTTTCATCTTTTTTTAAAGCAGTATGAACATGACATATTTTTTTTATTCATTAAAAAGTTTACAAATAAATTGATTTTATTAAAAAATTTTCGCTAATGCCAACTTTTCAAATGGATTACCTTCTATTATCAACAATATTCAACAATAATTTTTCACACTCTTCAATTATACGCTTAGATTTCGTTTCTTAATAGATTTCTATCATAAAAATAGCGGATGAAACTAAAGTTTTACTGTTCACAAATTATATTGCAAAAAAAGAAAATTCAATTTGATTTGGTTGACATGTCGTGTAGAATGCCAATTTGATTTTGCTGCATTGAATGAAAGAATTCATGTAGAAAAGGAGGAAATTTTGTGATATTCGTTTATCATACTTGAAAACACTTAGATAATTTATGATCATTATGGCTTCAATAACGAAAAATATTTAATTGCTCATAACATATGAATCATCTTGACTCAATATGATCTCAGTAAAGCCTCAGTTGGTCGTCTCAAGTTTTCTAATTAGTTTCAGATAAATATGATCATTCTGTATTGTACATGAAGATTAGCACCCTGGGATTTTACATTAGTATTTGCAGAGAAGAAAGAGAGAGAGAGAGAGAGAAATTCAATTAGATTTATATAATTGTTATGATAACATATGTTGCAATTAGCATTATTCAATTATAAACTAAATACCGAGTTTTGAGTAAAGTTTACCTTAGATATTTACATTCCATTGGAACTATAAATGGCATAGAAGAGTTTTGTAGAAAGTTTTATCATATATCAATGCACTTTTTGTTCATAAAAGAGAACGAAATCTTATCAGTTTCTATTCATCAAAATATTATTCACAACAAAGATACATACATACATCCTTTTTAACAGATTTATCAAACTTCAAATATTTAACAATTTTGTTACACTGCCATGTTTTCCCCAAAAAACGGATATAAGGAGTATTACTAATTTTATTTTCTAATATGATGGATTACTGGGTGATTTTAGATAGCATCAGTTTGAAAATTTTAAATTAAATTTGTTTCTGCTATCAGTCTGAATTTTGTCATTAATTTTAACATATTCTTATTATAGGGAAGGATTACTAACGTTATTATTACAAGTTTTTCTGTTAAAAAAAAAAGACAAATTTGGTTTTATGAAGTAAACTTTGATACTTTCAATAATCTCGATTAAAGTATCGAAAATGAAATATCTGATTGTTTTTTGTTTTGTTTTCGCATATAACACTAACAACTAAACAATAAAAAGTGAAAGTTGATTGCTTGAAAGAAAATTTTTTTTTTTATCATATCAATGATTACCAATAAAAAGTTTGTTTGCATAATCCCATATTGTGCAGTATAGTTTTTCCCCATACTTTATCGTTTTATTATTGTTTCCCCATAATAGAATCTTGTGACTGCATGATAATTGATTAGATCATCCAATTGATTATCAGTGATTAGATCATCCAATTGATTATTAGTGACTAGGTCACCTAGTTAATTACTAATGCAAATGTAGTGAATAAATCATATCAGTGATTATTAATTCATGCCAAAAATAACAAAATATTTGTCAGTATTAGATTTCAAGACTGTAATGCTATGATGCAAAATGCAATATTTTAATAATACAAGCAGAGGTAGAATATTTCGATTAAAATGGCAGGTATTTAATTAAAGATTAGATATTTTGATTAGAGGTCAGGTACTTTGATCAGAGGTCAGTTATCCATCATTATAAATCTCCCACGTACAAAAATTCGCATTGCAGATAACATCTTTACATCATTTGTACATTTGACTGATAATTCTCTAATTCGATAAGTACATAAACTCAATCAGTTATCATAAATTTATGCTTGAAATGCAATTGCACATCACCATTATCAGAATTATATATTATTAATGAAATGTGTGTCGTAAGCAAGGTACCAAGGTACCATTTTAATATTATCATTTTATGAAATGGCGAAGTGATTTCGATTTCATTTTATGATAGTTTTATAATTATCAAAGTAAATGATGTGAAAAATAATTTGATGATATGAACGCTATCTGTTATCAACAGATAAACAATAGAAATAGTTGCACCTATCAGTAAAAGTTTTTTGTTTTTTAATTTTTCTCTGTCTCGATCAAGCTCTGTCTAAAATTTTATTAATCATTAATTTAATCAAATTGACAAGCCAAATTATCATAGATTTAATTTATTAACATTGATGATTAGCAATTAATTCAGCTTTTCTGTGAATATGAGCACTGGAAAGAAAAAATGAGTGATACAAATTAAAATATCCATCACAATTTTATTTCTTCATGTTTTAATTAAATCCCAATACTAGAAATACACCTGAATGCTTCATCTTTTTTCTACTCTTAAAATATGAAGTTATTAAGTAATATCTGTAAAGGTCACTTGAAGTTCTCCACTATAAAAGTTTTGAAAAACTTGTTTGTTATAAATAAATAATTTGAGAGTTTAAAAAACTTGTTAGAAAGTTGAAATTTGAGTACAAAAAATTGTGCAAAATTTTGATAAGTTTTTTGACAAGAAAAAGTTCAAAATCTTGTTTTCGCTTTTTAAAAAAGAAAAAAAAAATTAAATTGAAAAGTGAAAATAAGCAGTCAATAATAAGAGGATTTTAAAAATTAAGAAGAGACTTGTTGTTGCATAAATATCAAATTTTGAGAATTTCTGAAGACAATGATGGTGTGATTATATTCTAATTTTGCATATTATAAAAAAGAAAATGACAATAATTTAAACTTAAAATCTAAATTTTACGAACAAAATTTGCCACATTTAGCTGAAGAGCTATTTGTTGAAGAAAATGAATTTATGCTACATTTGATAACAAATAAAGCAAATTATATTTGCTAGGTGGCCATATCACAATTACTTATATTCTTACAATAATAATTAATTCAAAACACTAAGTTAAGTGTTTTCCGTGAAAAAATTTAATTTAAGAAATTTCTAGAATATCTCTCTTAGATTGTAGAAAGATATGTAAAAAAAGCACAGTTATAAGTTTTTTAACAAAGAAAAACGAAACAGAAAGAAAATGAAATCAGTCATTAGCATACTAAATATATTTACCATTAAATGATCATTAAAATATTTTTTTAATTAAGTTTTAGACATTTTAATAAAAAATTAATTAGTGCAAACATTAATAAAAATTATCAATTTTTTTGCAAAAAGAAAAATGATTTAAAAATTCGATGTAATTTGGTAAATCAAATGTCTTTAAATGTTAATATTTAAAAACCTTTTACCACTTTTTTTGTCAACTTGATTTTATGCTTTTTTACGTAATATATAGAATGAACTAAAAATATGTCTATAACAATAAATAAAATATTTTTTATTTCTTAAAAATTCAAATTTTAATAATTGCTCCAAGCTAATTATTATTATACCTTTCTATGTAAGAATAAAAACAATAAATAAAATCGATGAACAGTAAAATACATAAGTTAATCATTTTAAATGACTTAAATTGAACAAATTATTATTCAAATAATTTGAATTTTTATGCAAAACATCTATTTTTTATGATATTATTTGATATATTTGATGTATTAGGCATTCATACGTCTGAATTGTACACATCTTTTTTTCAAAATTTTTGAAAAGTTCAATATTTTTTAAACGCACGTCTAAATGCATTTAATAATAAAGTCACTCATATATAAAAACAAATTGCTAAACAAATAATAGTAAAATCAGCAAATGCTTTCAATCATGAACAATAAATCATTTGATAAATTTTTAAGCTATTCAAAATTTTTACTTCCAATAAGTATAACTTCAATTCAAATAATATCAGAAGCAATGCTTACAACGACGATATGTTTTAAAAATTGGCCTTATTGAATTAACAAATCCTATTTCATTTATTATAATTTCATGATTATTTTCTGATTGATCAGAGTAATTTCCTTTCCATCTGCTTACGTATACATTATAAATGTGTAGAAAAACGTGTGCGTGTACGCATATATATACATGCACAACACGCACAAAATATTTTGTGTATCTTTACGTGTGCGAATTTCTATATATGTATGCAAAATAATTTATATTTCTTCATTTAATCCAATATATTTATTCTAAACGACTGAAACAAGCATGTAGTACAATTTGTTTATTATCTATTATCATCAGTTATCATAATCAGTGATTTCTCTAAGAACCACAATCAATGAATACTTTGATAACTTCACCTTTTTGAGCATATTTAAATGCTTCCACTGCTTCATCAAGTTTATAATGTGCTAATGTCAACTTATCCAATTTGATCTTTCCTGATCGAATCATTTCGATTGCTGCTGGCCATCTAAATTATACATTTATTTCAATAATATTTATATATGATTGCTTTAGTATGTATGATTAAAATGTAAAAAAAAAAGAAAAACTTTTGCAACTATTTTTGCCTTAAAATAATTCAAATAGTTTTGGTCATCCCAGAACCACTAAATAATTAATGGTTATTTTTTTGTAGCAAATAAAATGATAACAATAATTTTTGTTTAATTTGCAATGTTGCAATGCAAGCAGCGCAATAACCTGCAGTTAGTTATAATTACTATCACACGCTAATCGATTAATAATTCTTATATGATATACTCTTAATTATCACTTACTGAATACCTGAAAATAATGATTATTTATCACTATTATCTTAATTTCTATTATTTGAGTAAGAATACGCAAGTATAATAAAGTTATATTGTAAAGAAAAAGGAAAATTATATATTTTCATTTCTTTTTCCATTTGTTATCAAACAATAATAGCAAATCGATATTTCATAATTTATGATTTTTAGCTGATAATAAAACTTCGCTATTCTTATCTTTGAAGCATTTATTTTTTAAGTAAGGATTATATTTTTGAAAAGAGCTTACGTATTAGAATATTTGATCACACCATGAAGATTAATTTCCTTGGCGACCACTTCAAGTATTGGAACATTTACATATTCAGCACCCAATGCTACCAATATAACCTTACCACCATCTTTCACTGCCTTAATTTTAAATTAAATTTGAAAAAAACAAAAAGACTAAATTACATTTGGAAATGGATAATGACTGAAATACTTTTTAAAGATTATGAAGTTAATTTTATTTTATTTGTTATTTTAGAAAAAATGACATTGAAAATGAGAGCAATATTTTAAGGATAAAAAAAGTCAATTTTTTTTCACAGTTTTTTTTTTTTTTTTTTGATGAAATTTTCAAAAATATAAGCTTTTTTCTTTGTTTCTTTTTCTCTAAAACTAAAATTTTTATTTTTAAAAATAATTTCGATTAACCTTAATAGCTAATTCAATACTTGATTGTACCCCACAACATTCAATGACCACATCCGGTGCTTCACCCAATTTCTCCACAATAATTTCTACTGCATCTTGCGCACTAAGACCACTAACATTAACAGTTTCATCTGCGCCAACTTCTTTAGCAATCTCTAATCGATGATCCCGAATGTCCGTAATCAATGCCATTGTTGCATTCGTTGCTTTCGCTATCATCATCGTGATTAAACCAACAGGACCTAATGTGGTAGTACTTTACATATGGAAGATTAATTTTTTATTATAAAATAGAAATATTTTCCCAATGTTTCATAATGTTAAAAGCTTTCCTCTAACATCAATTGAATTTGAAAATTTTAATTTTAATTAGAAAGTACATAATGGTTTTATATTCTGGAATGACCAGAAATATTACAATTAATATTATATTACAAAAAAAAGAAAATAAAATGTTTTGGTTTTCCTTTACAATTTATTTACATTTCATATAGAAATGAATTGTAAAGAGAGTTTAATTGGAATTGATCATTAAAGTTTTTGTTTAATTAAATATCAATTACTGCTAGTATTATAATTTTCTCGCATCAAACTATTTCATTTCAAAGTTTATACCATTTATTTCAATAATTGGACCTTGTAATGAAAGATATTATAAGCAATATTTTGAAGGTATGATCAAAGTAATAAAAAACTAATTAACCTGCACCAAGAACCAATACCTTATTGCCAATCCCTATGTTTGCTTTACGACAAGCATGTAAACCAACACTAAGCGGTTCTAAAAATGATGCTTCTTCCATTGACATATTATTTGGAATTCTAAATGAATGACAAAATAAGCAATGAGGAATAATTGATTCCAAAAGGATTAAAAATTATAGGATAATTAATTAGTAGGTTTGCTAAAATTTCTGGGTATCTAATGTATTTTACATAAATGTTCCTGGAAAAGTTAAAAATTAGACGTGATATTTGTTACTGCAAATGATATTCTTTACTTACGTAAATTATTTCACGTATTTTTGTAGAATATAACTTTACGAGTAAGTTAACTAACTTAAAGCAGTAATCAGCATCAATGGTGACAAATTGTCGCATAGCGCCATCTGTTGGTGGAAGTGCAAAAAATTCCATTTCATGACATAAATTATACCGTCCACGTTTACACAATTGACATTTTCGGCATGGTACACCTGGTTCAACCGCTACTCTGTCACCTTTAATAAGAAAAATTTTCCTAATTATTTGTTATCCATTTATTATTACATACTCCTTTAAATTAATTTTGTCATCGATGTATTTTTTTAATTAAAAAGGAAAAAAAAAACAAATTGTATCAAATTATTGTATGCTAAATAAACAAAATTATTGGAAAAAAATTTTTAATAATTTATCTCATCATTTTATCACTATTTTTATCATTTATTATTGTATTTATATTTTATTGAAAAACTGTATAACTTACCAATGGTAAATCCTTTAACATCCGTTCCTAAACCGGAAACAACGCCACTACATTCATGGCCCATTATCATTGGCTTCAATGGCTTAAATGGTCCAATTTGACCGCGAGTCCAAAAACTTATATCTGTACCACATATTCCAACGGTGGATACTTTAATCAATAATTGACCGGATTTCGGAACCGGTATTTCACGTTTCTCCATTCTAAGATCATTTTTACCATGTAATACGCATGCCAAATTTGCATTCATCTTGCTTGTTTGCTTGTTTGTTTGTTTATTTGTTAACTTTTTTTTTTTATTCTGCCAAAATATTGCTAAAATTCAATTATATTAATGCAATATTTTTGTATTTCTATAAAAAATAGACGTAGATTATTCGTATATTAGTAAAAAAAAATGTAAAAATTAAACGCATTAAAAAAAAAAAAAAATTAAATTAACAATAATAAGCTCTATTAATTTTCTTAATTATAGTAGGAGAAGGATAAACAGATTTAATTTATGAGAAACTTTGTGATTTTAGATGAATAATTTAGATGAATAAATTTAAGCATTAGAATTAATTATCTCGCTTATTTCTTCATTTCAATTATAATTTGATCTTTTATTTCATTCTCAATATACACATCATTTTAATAAGCAAAAATTTGCTAAATACATAATAATTTTCTATACAAATTCAAGAATTAAAATGAAATTTAATCGAATTATTATGTCGTTAACACATTATGTGATTTTTTTTCCAAATTACTAATTATACGCTGAAATAATTTTCAATTATTTTCCTTAATAGATGCTATTTCCTATATTTTTAGAGAAAATTCAATGCAGTATTATTAATAGAACTGAAATTTGATTACAATTATGCAAAACAAATCTTTCAATAGCTTAGAAAATATCGATTCAAAATAATTTTTCAGAAAGATAAACATATTGCAGTTAGATTATTATTATTATCTGAACTCTACCACTTACCAGAAGAAAAAAAATATTTCAAATTAATGACATTCAATAAAAGCTTTTAAAAAAATAAAACATTCAATAACAACTATCAATGACCTTTCTATTTACTCAATTTTTGCTCCTTTATATTTTTAATGATAACAAAAAAAAAAACCAATATTTTCTCTTTTTGTCCTTTAATAAATATTTACTTTAATAGCAGCAGATAATTCCATCAAACGACAAAAAAAAAGCGAAAAAATTTATAAAACTTACCAATTTTAAAAATTTAAATTTAATCAAAAACTTACTTTCTGACTTAACATATAGCTAATTTGAAATAAGCAATTTTTTTTGCAGTGATTGCATAAAATATTCTATTATCCTTTAAGTTTCCATTATTAAATTTTTATCTTTAATGCTAAATTATTTTATTTAATATCATTAGATTAGATATGTAAGATTTTTAAATTATTTTATCAACATTTTTATTGAGCGTAACAATTCCATCATTTCATATTATAAACATTTTTACAGATTGTTGATATTACGATATTTGTGTGATCTTAAATAATAAATAAACTAAAGAAAATACTTTTACAAAACAAAAAACAATCTTATTTATTCATTCAATTATAAAATATTGCATTTTAACTTCGTCCATAATTGAATTATAATTAAAATTAGAACTGAACAAAATTCTTGATAATAATAATCGGACTCAAATTCATCTGAAGCATTAGAAAATTATTCCAAAATTAGATAGCTCTTAGATAATTTTGGAATATGCTTGGAATTTGTAATTTACATATGAAGAACACATTTCATATATAAAATATGAAGCTGTATATAAAAAATTATAATGGCTTCACAAATATTTCAGTTAAAAATAACTCAAAATTTTTTCTGAATTTATGAAATTTTATCTTAGATACAAACTTTATATCTTTTCAGGAATTTATAAAATGATACTGTTTCCTCTTTTTTTTTTCTGCTGTTGAGAATTGTAGAATTATAAGAAATTTTCATATTTAATATTTCTATACGTTATACAAAAAGGTTTTGCTCTGCTATTGCTATTTAATTTCTTTGATATTTAACTTTAACCAAATTTTTGATATCAAAAAAAAAAAGTTGAAGATATTCAAAATTAATGCCAAATATTCAAGAATTTTCAATTTTATTGTTTAAATAAATTTATTTAACAGATAACAAACGATTGATTTAAAGAATGTGTATAAAAAACATATTAAAAACTGTTGGAGTTCAATAAATTTTAGTTGATAAAATGAAAACAATGCGTATAGCTGTTAAATAATTGCAAACTACAAAATGTACTGCAAATTACTATGAAATTTGTATATCAAACAATTTATTTTAGTGATAACACAATGATAGATATGAAAATGTCAATGATAATTACAATGAGAGAAATGATAATGTTAATAATATAATGATAAAAATGGAAATATCACTGATAAGTTAGCGATCAAGTAGAACAGTCCCATAAATAATGAATAATTTCTTTTTTTTTTTTGTTGGACTAAAAAATGAAGCAAAAATTGAGAGAAAAAAACAGCTTCTATTTATTTCAACTCGGTTGTTTTTGTTGGAAAAAATAGAAAAACAGTTGAAAACAAAAAAAAGTTGTGAGTATGCGTGGGTGTGTGCACACGTGTATGTGTGTGCGTGTATGTGTGTGTGTGTGCATGTGTGTATGTATGTGTGTGTATGTGTGCGTGTGCATATCTGTGTCAGTGGTTGTTTGTTAAGGGATAATGATTAACAATTAACAATTCAAGAGGATGCGCCTCATATTTCCTTATAGCGCCACAACTGATGATAAATTATCAGTATTGACAAGAAATTACATGAAAATGTCCTTTCATTTCCTTGTGATGGCTGATAAATGAATCATTATAAGCATATCAATAACGTAAACATTATCAATTATCAGAAAATCATTGATGTAAATTTCAGTGATTAAAAAGACTGTGAACATGAATATTGGATCAAGATTATTCATAAAAAAACAAAAACATTAATTGAGATTATCAAAAGAGATACAAATAATTATGAGAAAATTATCAAATCACTAATTATGAGATTTTTAGTTTAAATGTCATCATGATTATTTAAGGAAAAGTTAACAAATAAAAAGAGATAAAACGTGATTAAGCGAGATATTAGCTAAGTAAATATTATCAATATGACATTGTTAACGCAAATTTTGATCATTAAATAGTGATAATAAAAATGAAATTATCAATATAAGTATAGGAAGTGGGCAATAATTTTGTAGGCCAAGAAGAAAGAATAGGTCAAAGGTTTCTTAGTACTTTCTTTACTTAACTAATTATAATTCTGTTCTATTTCTTTTTAGTTAAAAAAAAATTAAAGATTCGTTTTCACAATATACACACATAAATAACTTTAAGCATTTGACAAAATAAATTTTTAACTTTAGTAAGCATTTAAATAATTAGGTTAGAAAAATATTTCTAATTATAAATAAGTGCTTAAACATTTACAAAAATAATTATGAGCTAAAAAAAGAAATAAACTTTTAAAAATAAAGCAACTTTTTTACTGTTATATCACTTTAAACTACAATTTAATGAGGCTATATTAAGAGAAATATAATTTCAAATATTCTTAAATTTGGTGAAATTTATTTAAACTTTGGAAAATATAAGCAACTGTTGTACATTTAATAATTGTATTTTGAGTGATTCTTGATTCTTTTTTAAAATTTTTTTGATTGTTTCACACTTAAGCTGTAACGATGGTAAATGATTGATAATCTGTGGAATTAAAATTAAATCATTCAAATTCACTCTCTTATCATTTTTATAGAGGCAACTGATAAAAACAGTCCCCAAAGAACAAACATGCATGTGTGTACATGCATGGAGAGGAATAAATGCAAAACATTTATGAAGAAAATCAAATAACGCTATATAATAATCCACTGATAACAGTCAATGCTACTTTCTTATCAGTTTATCAAGTAGGAAGAAAGATTTTTTTTTTTTAAATTACTAGATAAAATGTCTCAATTCAATGAATTCTAATTATCCGCTGTTACATTTAATGCAATCGATTTGTTTCTCTCTTTTTTTTTTTTAAATTTAAATTTCTAGAATTGAAAAAGTCGTCACGTGCTTCGACACCATGTGAAAATTTATATCACATATATGCTACAAAAAGATTTCAGATTTTACACTTAGCGCTTAGATTAATTTTAGTTTGCAAATTCCACGAATGATAAACTGGCAGAAGAATAATATATTAAGTGATTCAAATAAGGAAACAATAGCTTGAATCATTTAAGATATTTTCTATTATTTTTGAAAAGAAAAAGGACATTTATATTTCGAATGCGCTCACTGATAAATTTTTTCTGTTTTGTTGTGTTTCTTCTCATTAAACTTAATAAACAAAAATTTCAAATTTTTAAGAAATAAAGTGATAAAATCAATCATTTTTCACCACTGATTTTTTCCTATATTTTCTTTGCCATTTAAATTTGTTGATTTATTTATAACTATTTTTTATTCATTCTATCAAAAAGTAATTCTAAGTATTTTATAAAACTAATATTGACATGATTCAAGCTGTAGATTATATTTCAGTTTAACTTTTTTCCCGGTTAATGTTTAAAATTTTAAATTACATTTATTTTCGTTTTAATCTGCTCCGAGATATTAACGGAGATGTTTACTCAACTTTATTTATTATTTACATGAACAAACATCACTATTAAGCTAAAATCAAAGATAAACTTTAATAATAAACTAAAAATAATAGAGTTTAAAGTTAGTACATTTAAGAAGTAATCAATTGGAATCTTTTATTAGAAATAATTTTCTATCGTATTTGTGAATAAAATTCTATTATGAATTATTCTAACTGACACTAATAAATCGGAATTTAAACAGTAAAAATATTTTAATAATAAAATTAAATTGAAAACACTTTTTTTTACAATTGAAAATAGTTCCGTCATCAATAGTAAAATATTGATCCACCATCAACAGTTGTTGCTTATACCTTGCAATGAAATAATTTAGCAGTCGTTTTCCTGATTTGCTCATTAGTTTTCGTTGTAGAAATAAGTTCAATTTTAATAATGCAAATTACACATTTTTAAAATTAATTTTAACTTTTGCAGTTATGAAAAAAGAGAAAAAAATAACGATTGATTATCAGTAACGATGATAAATTCGCATGATATCACTATGATTAGCATCATTCTCGCTATTTTTCTTATCATTACACCTTATTATTGCTGCAGTATACCACCAGAAGCAAAAATGACAACGGTATGCTTTTTGATATTCTATTATTAATTCATCATTTTTTTTTTTCTTTTTTGGACAATCCAATCAATTCTTTGTATTATTACTTTTTCAGTTAATCGTTTAAGTTCAATTTATAAGTAACCATATATTTAAGTTTTTCTTTTCTGTCTCATTTTATAAGTATCGAATATTCGTATATTTACAAATATTTTATATCAAATAATATAACATAGTGAATGATACCATTCAGATAGCAAATTTACCATTATAATACTATCAATGATGAGAGCTTAGCTTCGCGAACAAAGGAATTTATCAGTGTTTGCTGCAAAAGCGTTTGTAGATTGAAAAAAAAAAGTGAGAGAGAAGCAAGTCCTACTTTAAAAAATAGTGGAAAGTCTCGGGAGTGCTTCTTAATACTTTTTCATCCCGAAACAGATCCAACATTGGTGACAGCGTCTTGGATCTTCATATCAACCGATTTGAAGCTCGAGTGAACCACTAATGGCGGTCGAGAAAGTGATAATCTTTCATCCTGAAGACGTGACCTGTACACGTAGTTGTATTCAATAATGATGGGTTAAGCCTTTAATTGAAAGAGAGATCGAAAGTGTTCAAATTTTCGGTAAAGATTTTAGTTGTGAGTTTGACGATTTGTGCTAAATGAATGAATCTGCTGAGTTGAAGTGAACATATTACTGACTCATCTGTTATGCTAGATTGATTCATCATCTGTTCTTGATATTCCGAAGTTTCTATTTAAGCTTGCAGCATTTAAGATTGCTTTTCTTGCAAGACGGGTAGGTGAGCAAGAGTTCAGAGTACCTAGACTTCTAGGTCCTTTGAATTTCTTTGACGAGCACTCTAGGCATTCTATGAGCTATTTTTATATTTGCAAGCTTGGACCATAGCAGCGAAATACTGAGGTAGTAGGTTTATCTGTTAGATGAATGACCTTGAAAGGTTAAATGAGTTCCATCTGCCCGGATCCGAAATTGTCACTCTTCTAAAATGGCTGCTCGAGGTTAATCCATTCTACCCATCGACACACTTCGACTTTCGACTCTTTAGTTGAAGCCTGTTTGGCATGGGGATCCCAGAAAGGTACGTAAGTTCCTTTCACGTAACACACGACTAGGACGTGTCCGTGAGTATATGTATATTTGATAGTTATTTTATTTGCAACAATATTTAAAATAATACAAAACAGAAATATTCGATAATTTTATTCATATTAAATGATGAATAGTAGCATAACAGCAATTTTTAATTGACAAATATCAAATTACCATTTTGATTTGCATACAAGGAAACATTTTTCGACTGTACTGTTAGAGTTCAAAGTTCCTTTACTTCTAGGTTGCTTCCATCAAGTCAGTCCTTGAATTTTATTGATGAGAACCCTGGGCATTCTGTAGAACTACTTTTTGTATATTGCCTAAGTGGTGCTAGAAAAGAATCCATAGAATAGTCTGCAAGTCTAGTTTAAAGGTTTTTGAAATTGTCACTTACTGCTTTCGAACTTCATTTTGTTTCCAATTTATTGGTTTTAACTTGAGCTTCTTTCTTGGAATATTGGTTTGGTCTGAAAGTGAAGGATAAGTTTGCTGCAGTCTGTTTGATATTTTGCACTAGGCATCGATGAGAAAATAGAGAGCTTTGCTTTAAGCTCTCCTTGGAAAAGTTTCTTGGCCATCGGGATGCTGTCAGACAAGGCTCTCATCTTTAGATCAGTTTTGAGAGATCAAAAGTGCCGAAGTTCTGAATCACTTAAATTCATGTTAGATCTATTAGATCATTCAGTGCGCTTTTCACCTGCTGTTTTCATCAACATTCTGTCGTTTAAACTTTTGTCCTTTGAGTCTGAGCAAAGGTTTTTTTAGATGAAATGAAATATGCGCGGAACTGATCTCATCCTACAAATGAAGTTCATTAGCAGGCAATCCGTAACAACAAAATCCCTAGGTTGTTGGTTTGTTTGGAGTACTTTTTTCTTGGACAGATCGCTTTGTAAGGCTAACGAGCCCAGTTTGAAGACTGATGAGGCCATCCTTCCATTGGCATACTTTATCTGATCCTTTACTGGCATACAAAGTCTTACTGAAACACATACCACTGTAAAAATAATTCACAAATTTCATAAGGTATGCATGCAAACCCTCCTCTCTCATAACAAGAAGGTATCCGCTTAGAAATATTTCACATACATATGCATCACCAGTTTATATGTCTGTAATTTTTTGATGATCAGTTTAGTAGTATAATAACTTTGTTAGAATTATAGTTGGATAAAATTTAAATTTTCAAATTTCTTGATATGAAAAAAGAAAGAATAAATTGTTATAATGTTTTTTTTTTTTTTTCACAGGTTCAAATAATACTTTATCATGGTTATCCGGTACAAGTATTTCATGCATATACCAGTGATGGTTATATTTTAGACCTTCATCGTATTCCATTTGGCAAAAATGGTTTGTTTTTCTATTATAAATATTTAATTTATATAATGTAAGAGAAAGAAAAAAATTTTTAAACATGCAGTGAGAAATTACTTTAATTACTAAAATTGAAATTGTTCATTTAATTATGAGAATGCTTTTCGTAGCAATTCAGCATTTCATACCAAAATTATTCCATGGAATAATCACTCGATAAAATGATTATCAGTTATCAATTAAAGTATACAATTCAATTTATTGCTATCAGAAATATTCTTATCTTTATGTCTGCTCTTTGGTGCTATTCTTTTATAACAGTTTAAGGCTAAATATCAACAGAGGTTCATCTCTAAAAAAAAAGAGTATAAAATATAGTTAATTTGAAAAATTTTCAGGATATTCCATTAGTCGTAAATATCGACCAGCAATTTTCTTGCAACATGGCTTACTTGGTTCAAGTGCTGATTGGGTGGAAAATTATCCCAATGAATCTTTTGGTAATTATATCAAAGTATAGTTCGTATATAGGGTATATGTTAAAATTTGCATTTCATTTTTATTCTTATTTGTTTTCAAACTAAATTTCAATTTCATCATTCATCTTGGCTGATGCTGGATTTGACGTATGGCTTGGTAACTCACGTGGAAATATATACGCATTAAATCATGTTAATTGTTCCACAAAGAATGATTCATTTTGGAAATTCAGGTTAATTAACAAAAATTCATATGAATTAAGACAACAACAAATGAAAATTAAAATTATATCGAAATATAATTCATATATGAGATTGTATCAAATACAAATCAAAAAAGTATCCAAATTTTACAACAACCCTTAAGTGTGAAATGTTATCAATAACAATTAATTAAAGTTTATTTAAAAATATTTTTCTTTAAAAAAAATTAAGTACTCATTGATGTTAATAATTTCAAGTTGGGATGAAATGGCAAAATATGATTTGGATGCAATGTTTGATGTGGTATTAAAGGTAACAAAACAAAGAAGTCTGTATTATGTGGGCTTTTCACAGGGCACATTAATTATGTTTGTCAAACTTTCCCAGGACACAAATTTTGCATCAAAGGTTTTCCTTCTTTTTTCAATTATAATTTGTTTAAAATTTAAATTAATGAAAAAAAAAATCACAACTTTTGATGACAACAAAAATGATGGAAGAAAAAATATACTTAATTCATTTTTTTTTAAAATTATACACAAACACGAACTTGAAAATGTTGCATTTATTTATAATATAGTAAAAAAAAATACTTATACAAAAACTAATGACATTTTTTTTTCAAAATAAAAAAAAATTATTTTTATAATGTTGTTAATAAATTAATTATTTTTTCGTAAAATTGAATTAATTTGAAAAAAGAACATTATTTCTGAGGAAAATTTAAAGAGTAAAATTTTCAGATTCGGAAATTTTTTGCATTAGCTCCAGTTGCAACTGTAGCCAATGTGAAAGGATTATTCCGATTATTTGCTACCAAAATTTTTCCTAGTGCTAAGGTATAACTTATATGATATGATTAGGTCATACTCATATTTCAATGGGAAATAGAAAGTAATTTGTTAGGCGAATAAGCAGAGAAAGGAAAGTTTATCAATTAGTTTTTTGCACTTACTATCATTGATAAAAAGAAAATGAATATGAATTAATTTCAAGTATTATCTTTGTTGACATAAAAAATATAATTCATTAATAAAATGTAAAACTAACTTTCATTTTAGTTAATTCAGCAATTCTTCGGCAGTAGATTTTTTGCACTAAATAGCAAATTAACAAAGACAATTAGCATGCTAATTTGTGAAATCTCTTTTTTCAATCCATTCTGCAACGATATTATCTTTCAAATAGCAGGTCCCGATAACGGTCAATTTAATAAGGTAAAATTAAATTCATAGCGAAAGATTTAAATTTTAGAATTCTCTTCTTTTGATTATTTTACATGCTAATATTTTGTATATAATAGAAAATATAATTTTTAATGAGTTGGATGAATAAATTGCAGAGTCGTTTATCGGTGTATATCGGTGGCGAAGGTGGTACCTCGGTAATGAATATGATTCATTGGGTACAAATGATTAATAGTGGAAAATTGCAAGCTTATGATTATGAATCAGTGAAAGAGAATCAAAGGCATTATGGAAATGTAATATTTTCAACTTTTTTTTTTTTGTTTTAATTAAGGAAAAAGTTAATAATTTAAAAGATTTGGAAATTTTAATTCAAATGAAATTTAATCGTATAATTGGAAGGTTAGTGAAACTTTGTTTGAAAATTGTTAGAAATTCTCTTTAGAATTACTTTCAGCTTGTTTTTCTAGGATTCACCACCAATTTATGATATTAGTTCAGTTAATGTTCCGATTTATTTGTATTGGAGTCTGAACGATTGGCTTGCAAATACTATAGATATTCGGGTTAGTTATTCAAATATTAAAATTTATTTTAAATAAATGAAAATTTTATTTCCAATATTTGTTAAATTACTTTGGTTAACAAAATGTTTAAATATTTGAAGAAAAAAAAGTATTATTGAGCGATTATTTTTTTTTACTTCTAGAAATCACTGCTATCAGTTTTACCGAATAAGTCAATCAGAGGAGGAAAAGTATTCAAAAATTACAATCATTTGGATTTCATTTGGGGTTTACGAGCGGCTAACGAAATTTATCGATCAATTATATCGATTATTCATAAAGAAAGAAGTCAAGAAATTTCTTAATAATTTTAAGATTACAAAAATTTGTCAATTTTGATTTTTATTCAGAGATGAATTACATGAAATATGATATAGGAATGGTTTTTGTAAATTTATTTGTTTGATTCAAATTATCACCTGTAATTTTTTAACTCATTCTATTTATAAAATATTGTGGTGGAAGCAAATCAATTTTTTTTTTTTTGTTTTGTTATAACTTTAAAATTAATTTCTTTATTTTGCAATTTTTCTCATTTAAATTAATGCAATTATTTCATTGCATTCGTCATTCCAACTAACCGATAAATTTGTTATAATTTTGAAAAAAGAAAAGGAAGGAAATAAAGGCATACGGAAGCACAATAAAAGATTTTAATAGCTTGAAATCTTTTTAAAACTTTTCTTGTTCGTAAAATTTAATCTGAACTGAATAATTGTTTAAACAGAATAAAATTTTGAAATATTTCCTAAAAGAAAAAGAACGTATGCTGACAGGTGTTATTTAAGCTGGAATAAAAAGCAATCGTTTGATGTTTATTTATTAATAGCCTAATAATAATTTATGGTCAAATAAACTATATTCATTACAATGGATTGAAAAGCATAATGCAATGATACTTTCCGCAAATGTAACTGTAAACAGTTTTAAAAATAAATGAACAATTAATTACTTTGAACAAATGATACGCCATACAATGAAAAATACAGCGAAACTTTAATAAAGAAATAAACTATTTTTTGAATTCCTAAAATTTGCAGACAACAAAAGTTTTTAACGAATTCTGAGGTGAAAATTGAAAATCATACCATAAATTGTTTTTATAACTGAGATTTCAGTGGTCATGATATATGCATAAACTAACAATGCACACAAATGCAGGGTCAAAGTTCAACTCATTTAGCAGTGCCATAACACACAATGACATCATTATGATAAATATATGCATGCTAAATTAATGAAGACAAAAAATTGACCCATGTTGTAGGCATAATTTTATGTTCAATTTGATAGGACACACACACACATACATACACACACACACACACACACACATACACACACATACACGCATAAATACATATATGTGCGTATGCGTGTACGCAGGCGAATATAGACGTATTCGCCTGCGTATAGATCGTACGTATGCATGCACACATACATGCAGACATTTCAGATCTAAAAAAGAAACAGATATGTACATACATCACATCTGCACAATGATAAGTCGTTCTCGAGAAAAATGAATTTCATTTCCATTTCAGTTGTTCTCTGTCTCTCTTCCTGTATTTGTTTGCGTTATTCATAATATACTTTTCTTTCTTTCTTTCCTATTTAATTCTCGTTCTGTTTGATGAGACATACACACACATACATGCACATACACACACACACACACACACACATACACACTCACGAATGCATACACATACATATATATACACACTTATGCGAGTAGTAATAATTATTTTAATTAGCCGTGATTAAGTAAATAAGTTAAAATGTTAGTGTCATTAATATTAAATGATTATTAATTACTGTTGTTATTGTTGTTGTTATTATTATTATTAAACTTTGTTAATATTAAGTAAGTCAAGTGGAAATATTTGAATAAAATATATTTGAACAAAAAATACGTATTAATTAGCTACAATTAATTGAACGTTAAACTGTTATAAATCATTATATTAAACAACTGTTTACAATGATGAAATATAGCATTGAACTAATTGCCTGATAGCAGCACTGATAACTACTGCTATCAGTGGTGGCCGATGTTTATCACTATTATCTTCAAATTTTTTGTTTACACTAAATTATATCAGATAACAAATGAAATTTCAATTAAACCACTTCCAGAAGCTACAATGACAACTGTAAGTTTAAAAGAGGCGAGATATCGAGCAATTTAAATTAATTGAAAAATTTTTTTATGAAAAAAAAGCGATATAAATTAAAAAAATATATATTTGCATTTGTTTTTTTCGACTGAATAAATTTTTGATGAAAAGTATAAAATAAATAATATTTTGAATTTTGAAAGGTTTTTATTTTATTACCTTCTACTTTTTTTTATATGGAAAGAACTTTGATTCATCCATTTCCCGTTGTTAATCTTTGATCTTTTTTTCCAAAAAAAAAGAAAATTGTTGCAATATTCTTTTTTGTTTTCAGAATGAAATTATCTCTTACCATGGCTATCCATCTGAAACACATACTGTGACAACAGATGATGGTTATATACTCGAGTTACACCGTATTCCAGGTGGTAAAGCAGGTAATTCTGTTATTCAACTATGCTCAACGACATTGCTGCATCAGTTATAATTATTATCGTATACGTGTACTTAGTTCATACTGTACACCACCGTAATACACTAAACGACTGGTAAGCACGGTAGATTTCTTGTACAACTTGATTTTAATCAAAGACGATGATTATTTATTTCAGCGGTTAATTCTAGAAATGAATCAAAGTCTGTAGTATTTCTACAACATGGTTTTATTGGTTCAAGCGCTGTCTGGGTGACAAATTTACCAAATCAATCTGCCGGTTGTAATATATATTTTATTTAAGATTAAAATCATTATATATCGCCTTCTTTTCTTTCAATCTTTAATTCCTCAAAAGGATTTTGAAAAAAAAAAAAGCATTTTCAAAAGCTTTTAATCGGAATTTTAATTAATTCAAATTTGCCAAATACTTACTGACAAAGATTTATTCATCCAAGTCATAATTCTTTGCATTTAGCATTTGTATTTGCTGATGCCGGATTCGATGTATGGATGGGTAACGTTCGAGGGAATACTTATTCCACCAAACATGTTAAATATACACAAAATGATTTAAAATACTGGAAATTTACGTCAGTTAATTTTATACTATTTTTCGTTTACGTCAACTTTTTGACGTTTATGTTAATTTTTTTTCGTAATAAAAAAGTATGTAGAAGTGAAAACAAGAAGCTTTTGATTTTTTTTTTTGACTACCACTAGCATTATTCATTTAGGTTTGATGAGTTTGCAAAATATGATTTGGATTCAATGATTAATTATGTGCTTAATAAAACTTGCCAACGCTTCTTGTATTATATTGGATATTCCGAAGGTACTCTAACAATGTTTGCAAAACTTTCAATCGATCAACTTTTTGCACAAAAAGTGAGCTATGCTTTTTTCTAGAAAATTCAACAGCTATGTTAATTGAGCATTTGAAAACCATTGACATTCAAACCATATCTGGAAATTAATATTTGAAAAAATTCAAAATTTTGAAGTGACAAATTTTGAAAAGGCAGAACTTTTAACTTTGAACTTATTTCTTACCTAAATTTATCAATTATATGAAAGAAATTTTTAGATTCGTAAATTTTTTGCTCTGGGACCAATTGGTACATTAGCTCATATCAAAGGTTTAGTAGGAGTTGCTGGGAAAAATTTTCTACGGCCACTTAAAGTAAGCATGTTTTATTTCATCCTTAATTGCTTCAAAATTTTTTCAAAAAGCTGAAAATTAGCAAATTAAATTGAATACTTTAGTTCAGCTTTATTGGCATAAAAGAGTTAAAGACTAGTTAAGTTGTAAATTCGATTAAAAATTTGGTACTGTTTAATCATAAATCAAAAAAATCTAATTTCAAATTGCTTTATCACTATTTATGACTTTATAATCAGTAATTTTAATTACAATTTAATTACTCTTTTTATTTGAAGAACACAATAATTTAATAATCTGAAATTTGTTTTTTCTTTTTTCAGCTGAAATTTCAGTCAAAACTTTTGATATATTGATTTACATCTTCCCCTTCCTATTTAATTAATTTAAAATTATAATATTCATAAGTTAAAACTCATCGTCAAGAATTCATCATTAATTCTTTTTTCACTTCGCTAACAATTTTCATTCTGCAAATTTTATAAAAGTATTCAAAAAATGAAAAAGCATTTTTATAGCTGTTGGTTAAAATTACCGGCAAATTTATGCCCAACGAATCAATTTTTCAAAAGATCAGTAAATCAACTTGCTCTTTGAAAAGCGTCGTTGAGCATTGTGAAAATTTAATGTTTCAAATGACTGGGCCTGCTACTATACAAATGAATGTGGTAATTGAATTATATACTTTTTATGACAAAATTGATGAGTGACAATTTTCAATTCATATATAATTAATTAAATAAATCTGTCTTAATCTAATTTTCTCCGTTTTCTTGTTGATAATCTTTTGAGCTTTTATTACAGTTCCTAATTTAAGCCATCGTATTTTTTTCGTTTATAATTTTAGAGCCGAATTCCAGTGTATATGAGTCATTTGCCAGCTGGTACTTCAATGGCAAATGTTCTCCATTGGGCGCAAATGGTAAACAGTCATAAAACACAAATGTATGATTATGGTTCAGAAAATAAAAATATGAAACATTACAATATGGTTTGTTTATGTATTTATTGCAAGCAAAAATTTATTCATTTAAATTTTCATACATTTCAATGCGCCATTATGCATTATTTTAAAAAAGAAACCTTTTTCAAAAATAGTATCTAAAACTTGGAACATTTGTTTTTTTGAAAAAATATGTTTTTTTTTAATAAAAATTTTTTGCAATTATCCTACTTTAATTGCTGCACTTTTTTCCTTGTTTATTAATTTAACTATTAAAATTGTTTTCCCACCACTTTAAAAGAGATTTTAGCTTCTTCTTTTTAAATTACTACTTGAAGGATTTAATCCCTTTTTTTAAAGTTTTCATTTGTCAAAATAATTCAAAATCTAAATGATACCTATAGTATTTTGTAGAAAACACCACCTCTTTATAATTTATCACTAATCAATGCACCTGTTTACCTGTATTGGAGTGAACAAGACTGGTTAGCTGATAAACGTGATATTCAGGTAAGTAACCTCTTCAAGTAAACAGTTTTACTACATATCGAAAATTCTCGTATTGCATTAGGCACTTTAGTTAATATTGCACAAACTTTCTTTATCTATGTTTAATAGATGCAAGTGCAGAAGCTTTCAACTTTTACTAATTTCTTTGCAGGATAGTCTGGTAGCTAAAATACCGAGCAAATATTTGATACAAAACAATGAATTGCAAAATTTTAATCATTTTGATTTTATTTGGGGAATTCATGCTGCTGATCAAATATATAAGCCTATCATTGAGATTATAAGAAATGATGAAACTAAATTATAAACCAATTCATATTGGAAATGCCTATGTATTTAAAAATGTATTTTAAATGATAAATGCGCAAAGTGAGTAAATTTCAAATTGATTTTGATAATAACATGAAATTCTTGTTAGTGTGACATAACGAACAAAAGGTCGAGAAAAGGTATTAAAAACTTTTTGTTGCACATGCAAAAAATGTTTAACTTCTTACAAATTTAAATAATTTAATTCGAAATAAATAGTTTAGATGATCTTTTTTTTTTTTAATTGAAAATCATATAACAATTAATATCAGAAATTATCTGTCACGTGAAGCATCCACGAGTTGCAATAAACCATTAATTATTTTAGCGTGTAGATATCAATACAAACATTAGATATTCACATCTTCTCACTATTTCGTATTGCATACGATTACTGTAATGATTGAGTCATCAGTACAGTAAACAAACTTTATTCATACACACCATATAATTTTAGAGCTAAATGAACTTGCACATGCATACTGTAATATGCTGTAATGGTACAGTCTTCAAATAGCAATTAGCACAAGACGCCTTATGCTAACTGCTATTTAAACAATTAGTGTTATTGCATATACCTCTGTTAGTGAATCTGCGCAAGTATACTGTAGCTGTATTGTCATTACGGTAAGCACCCTTTTTCCTTGTTGTTTTCTGTATTCATCGTCACATGGACTCATGTGTAATCTTGAATTTATATTTTTATGTAATAAATTAATTAACAAGAGTAATCATTGCTAGTATGGTCGGGAAATCAAAATCAACAATGAATTATTTTATTTTTAGGAACTGATCAAAATTAGCATTTATCAGTTTTCTTCAAAGATTAACAATTATTTTATGTCTGAACATGATGGTCTAAATAAAAGTTTTCATTATTGATGAATACTATCGATATATATTAATATAAGCAGGATAATGAGTTAAATTAGTAATAAGCATTTCGAAATGTTCATCGTTTTTTTTTTTTTTTTTAAATTATAATTTTTTCTTGACTTTATTTTTGTATTTGACTTAAACAATAATTATATAACTAATTTTTAACTTCGATATAATCCTATATAACAAATATTCTTAAAATTACATCAATTTATTCCTTCTATTTGGTTGTTTTCTCTTTAAAATTAAATCAAGCAACACTTAAACGCTTTAATTGTTTTGTTCTCTTTTTTAGCCGTAAGTTTTAATATAATATTAGAATACAATTGCCATTTCATCAATTATTGCAAAATGGCATTTTGAAAAAGCGCAAAAAAATTTTTCCAAAATACAGTTTTGTTTTTTTTTTTTTTAAACAAACATACGAACTCAAACAAAAAAAAAGTATGCTCAAATTATTTTGTTAGATATTAAATGATTATTAGCAACCAATGATTTTGCATGCCTTTGTAACCAATAGCAACCTTTCAAGCAACATTCATCAAAATTCACAAACGCAATTGATCTTTTCAGAATGATATTTCATAATGACTCTTAGGTGACACTGTCGAATCAGTTAATTACTTCTGATATTTGTGACGTAGGAATCACAACATTAACTAACTTTGTTTACAAAGTGTGTTATTTTCCGTATTTATTGTTTAGCATTAAACAAAGTAGTAGTGTTGATAATTTCACTGATTATTAATGATCCGTATTTATTGTTTAGCATTAAACAAAGTAGTAGTGTTGATAATTTCACTGATTATTAATGAGATATTTTGTTTGAATTATCCATCTTTACATATTATCTTTAATGATAACGTATATTTGTTAAAATATATATATTTAAGATCGTTAAATTCGTAGCAAAAATGCTAGCAACAACCTTCAATTAAATTCATTATTCAAATCAATTCATTATTTCAATGAACAAACGAGCACACGAAATCAATACGGTATGTATATTTTTATTATATGAAATTTCAATTTAACAATAAGATTATTAGTTGATATTTACAACTAGCTTTTCAATGCTAATAATTAAGCCTCATCCATTTGAAAAATATAAATTATGAATGCTTAAGTATATAGAAGCAGTTTAAGGATAATGTTTCAGGAACAACATTCCAGTACTAAAACACGGGTAATATTTGATCAATCCAAAAATGAATCATATCATTTTCATTCCGGTTTTCGACAAATTCATAAAAGACTACGCAACGAATGGATTTTAGAAGTGTTAGTATTATTTATAACTAAATGCAATAATGACGATAGTAACTAAAACATAATAATAACAATAATAATAAGAATGGTAACAATAACAATAATAGTAATAGTAATAATAATAATAATGATGATAATAATAATAATAAAAATAATAATAACAATAAGTAATAATGTAAATGATAATTTAACGCAATGATTTGAAAATGACAAATATAATAACAATAATTATTTGTCATTTACAAATAATCCGTTAAGACTGCATAAATTAAATTTTACTCGAAATTTTTTTAGTAATACGAATGAAATTAATGCGAATACCTTTACTGAATGTTGCTTATTTGTGTTACCATATCCAAGAAGAAAATTTTCACAAAATGAGGTAAGTATTCTACTTGTTAATTTTTGAGAAACGAATTTTTTCTCTTTTTTAATAAATTTTGTTATTCTTATAAACAAATCTATTGTAGAAGGAAACAATATCTATTGAGTTTGATTTTGATATTAGTTGCATTAAGATAATATAACTTATTTTTAAATTTCTAGTGTATTCTCTAAATTTTTCTTCACACTTAATTATCTTAACAAAACCAAAATTTTTCTTAAAATTGTTTTGTATTCTTAAAATTTCTTAAAAATTGTTTCTTAAAATTGTCTCTCTGTATATAAAGGAAAATCAATAACTCTCATATTTAAAAGGAACTATTTTTTAAATTATGATTTGAATAGCAATTTGCTTTGTAACACATTATGATATAATGTAATTATAATATTTATTAACTTATTTATAATTCAATATTTGCACAAATTATCCCATTGAATAATAATTAAATTAAAATTGTAATCTATTTAACATTTAAAATTATCTTTTCAACAATGACTGACAGTAATTAGCAACAATTTTACTTATAGATTGATCATCTGAAACATTTCATCGATGATGGTAATAGTGTATTAGTATTGATGAGTGAAGGAGGTGAACAAACTGCTGACACAAATATCAATTTTTTAATTGAACAATATGATATTTCATGTAATAATGGTAACATTTAATATAAGTAACAAATTTTGAGTTATTTAAACGAATGAATATTTGATCAAACCAATATTATTTAATTGTTATCTGCAATTTTTAATTGTAATTCAACTTCTAGCAAAAAAGGACTAATAATTAATTAATTAATCGCTAAACTAAAATCTTATATTTTCATTTTTTTTTACTATAAATCAAACTGCTATTTTTTTATTAAAAATATTTTTGATGATTATCTTGTTTATCATACAAAAAAATAAAAAATAAATTGAAACTATATGTTTTATGAAACTAAAAAACGAAGTATTTTTTATGTGAATGGAAATTTCATTTTAGATTCTGTAATTCGAACAACGTTTTACAAATATTTTGATCCAAAGGAAGCATTGGTTGCTAATGGTGTCTTAAATCGTGCGCTTACATTAACAGCTGGCAAGTTGACACATTCAAATGATGAAGAAATTAATGCACTGTAAAAATTTTTAAAATATAAGTTCTAATCACCACACATTAAATCCAACAAAATTGCAAAAATTATTAGTTCTTTTGATAATTGTAACAATTAAACAAAAAAACTTTTTAAGAAAACTTAAACTATCAGTTTATTTATTTTTTTTTTTTCAAATATCTGTTTTAAAATGTTTAAAGTTTATTGTTTGTTATATGATAGTCTTCTACTTTAGCAATCAATTTTAGTTTATTCACTTTCTTTTTTAAATTTATTTTCCATTATTTAATTTTATTTATTGTAAAATATCAATTGCTATGCTACTTTTTAGTGGCTTACAATTTGTTTATCCATATGGAGCAACATTGACTGTTGGTCGAAAATCCACGGCGGTACTATCTACGGGTAGTGTATGTTATCCAAACAATCGACCCATTTGCGCATTTCATCAAACGGTATGAAACGAATTAATTAAAACTTTAATATTAGCTTTTAATTTTTAAAACAAAAAATTTACAACATATAAAAAGAAATTATTGCTATTTTAGGAGAAAGGTGGTAAATTGATAGTTATTGGTTCAGTTCATATGTTCATCGATCAATATTTTGAAAAAGAAGAAAATAGTAAAATATGGGTAAGTTGACCAGTCTAATAATCGAAGAAAAATTAACGAAGAAAAAAATATTTCATTCAGAACAGTGATTGTGGTGCATAACAATGAAATTTAAATCCTTTAATTAAATTTCATGCATGCATTTTTAACTGCTAAACTTGAAAATTAGTCTCTTTTCAAAAAGAGAAAACATTCAATTTTAATATAATGATATAATGAAAATCTAATATGTTAATTTTTAAGGATGTTATTATGAAATATGTAACGGAAGGTTTTGCATTGAATATAGTGGATAGTAAGGAACCGGATTTGATTGATATGCATCATATACCGGACCATATTGATTTATCGGAAAAAATTAAAGTATGTCTACAAGAAGATGAATATGAAATGAATCAGAGTAATGATTTCCTCAGATATTTTGATATTAACCTTTATGCTATGGATCTTTCTGTTTGGCCTAAAACTATCAGGTAATTTACAATATAAAAGGAAAAAGAGAAAAAAAAAAACCAACCATTAGCATTCGATGAATTAAGTGGGGATGTTGTAAGGAAATCAATTCAATAATTAAGCTTAATACAACTAAAATGCTTTTTTTTTTCTTCTTTAAATATAAATTCTATTTAAAATCTAAAAAACAGAAAAAAAAAAGAAGATAAAAGGAAAACATATTGAAATTGTTCGGAAATTTTTCAAAAAAATTCTCAACAGTTAGAAAGTTCTTTTAATTGACAAGCTTTCAATAAAAACAGTTACCCACAAATATGATTACAATTTTTTATATTTAATAGTTATTTCTAATTATTATTGATGATTGTTTTTAATCATATTGATTAAGCATAACTATTATATTATGTGAAATAATTTCAGTTTTTTTCTAAATTTGCTTATTGCAGAGCATTTGAACAGCTTGGTTTAAAGCATGAACCGTTATCACTTATCGTACCACAATTTGAAGTACCACAACCACCACTTACACCTGCTGTATGCATAATTCATTCATTATAAAAGTTATTCATAGATGATTTATTATTGCTATTATTATTATTATTAAATTACAGGTATTTCCACCAGATTTTCGAGAACTACCACCACCTAAACTGGAATTATTCGATTTAGATGATATGTTTTCATCAGCAGATGTTCGACTTGCTCAACTTACCAATAAATGTAAAGATTTTATGATTTTAGCAATTATTAATCACCATACAATCATGATTAATGATATTAGAAAACGAACATCTAATCCAATCAGTTATTCATATCAATCATTAAAAAATCTGCATACAGGATTACATAATAATAATAATAATAATTAATAATAATAATAATAATATAATAATAATAATAATAATAATAATAATAATAATAATAATAATAATAATAATAATAATAATAATAATAATAATGATAATAATAATAATAATACTTAAAGTAAAATGCTCTCATCAGTCAAAAAAAAGGTATTAATTAGTTAAGAAAATAATAAAATTATTACTTAAATATCTCAAATAATATATCATTGTTAAGCCTGTTTCATTTTAATGCCTAGTAATTTAGGCCTAACTAATTAGTAATATTGGTATTATTGACACTGACTGAATTGACTGATTTCCATCATCGATCTAGATCGATAATGATCAGCTAACTGATTGATTATATAGTTCCATCAAGAACGACAATTTTAGTGTATCACATTCTGATGATACACCTTGTTGTAAATTTTCGTACTTAAATTATATCATCGTAAAATCTTATGCCAAAATTTTGAAAAATTGAATTTATTTTTTATTAAATGGCAAACAAATAAAGTACTTAATTACAAGGTTATATATAAAAGAAATGAGAAGTCAATGAAAAGTTAACGATTTCTATTAATAATCATAATTACTAATGAAAATTGAGAGTTGTATTAAATGAGATTTAATTTTTAAAAACTGGAACAACAAAATAACACAAATTTAAATTAATTAAAATTAAGGTGAAGAAAGTGATTTGGAATATTTCTTAAATGAAGCTGGTGAAATTTATGATATCACAAAATGTTTACCGGAAAATGATAGAGGACCAAAAAAAGTACTCGAATTTGTGCTTTATCAATTGGCCGAATTTAAAAAGTTTAATCAGGTCATTTCAATTAATTTATGCAAGTAATTAACTATCTTCTTTTCCTCTTTCACATTCTTTATATATATATAAATCTACAAAATAGGTTCCATCTTTCTAATTTAGGAAAAGGATGATATTGATGATGAGAATCTAAAAAGGAGCCTAGATGAATTGGACGAACATAACGATGGACAATACTTCTCCGATATTGACGAATATGATGACATGAATTAAATGCTTTTGTAATTTTGTTTTTTCCTTAACTATTATCAACTCAGTGATCTGATTAATTCCAAAGAGATATTACTATCATCTGACTATGACAATGATTGAAAGTTGAAAACTATTTGTGAAAATGTTTCGAAAATGTATACTTCTACTGCATATTTTATTCTAGATAATACAATGTTTATTCATAAATATGTATACTGTACAGTAGCACAGACTCGGCTTTTTTGGCAAAAGCTTATAGAATGAATGATGTGAAAGAAAAAAGAAAACAGAGCTATATAAAATTAACATATTCATTTAGGTTACATAATAATTAAAAATTAGGATATATATATATATATACTTCGTTTTTTTTTTCATGAAAAAAAAAAAAAACTAATAACATCAGATTTAAAAAAATCCACACTATTTTTTCATTGCACAACATTTACATCCTACCATACTATATGATATAATTCATAACTAAAGTTGAATACAATGTATTTTCGCGAAATCCTTCCAGAAAAATCTGTAGGAAATAGCTTTATTTTCATTTTCGGCATAAAATCCAGCAAACAGAAAAAAAGAATCATTAAATAAATAAAATGTAGCATATTAGGATGAAAAATGCTATAGAATAGAACTACAAGCAAATTGTCAATAAGCAAATTGTGAACTTTCGCAACAAGCAAGAAATTTTCACTAAATGCAAAATATTTTCTTGACGGAAGAATAGAATGGTACTGCTTGTAATGTATTATTAATATTATAAAGGCAAAATAATATGGCAAGAAGAAGCATAAAGTTGGGCTTATAGAATAACAAACAGAAGAGACAAATGATTTTCCTATTGTTGATAAATCTATTAATAATAGAAAAAATAGAAAGACAGTTCCTTTATTAAGATATCGCTAAATTCATTTTTTCCAAGTGAACCTTGGACTTTAATTCATTCCTCGAAACTTTCTATTGTTTAGTATTTCTTAGGAACAAATTTATGACTAGTCGGTTGAAGAAGTCACGGAAATACATGCTGATAATGGATTTCGTATCGAATCCACTTCCTCATTCCTTTCAAATGTTGATGCATTAACCATAGAACCAAATGTTCCCAGCGGAGTGAGAGCAGACCGTTGAGCAGGGCATTCAAAGTGTACGCAATGAAATACTTCATTCACTAAAAAGCAAGAAAAAAAATTTGATTATAATTAGAGATAATAGAAGGCATAGATCTTTCAATCATTCATTAACAAAACAGAATTCTAAAAAAAAAAAAATATCCATATTTTTCAAATGAAACATCCATATATTCCCTTCATCATAATAAAGGTACATGAAAAATATTTTCTTTAAACAAAAGATAAATGATACGACTGATAACCATTAACGTAGCTGCAGCTTCAATAGTTACAAAATGTTTTATGAAAAATTTGATTTCAGTATGTTTAGGAGAGAATATCTTTTACCTGAATTGTGCGTTCCAACAAGACGAATAAACACAACTGGAAGACGATCAAATCTCAAGATCTGCCATGCTCTATGAACAAAAATAATTTATAAAGTAATAAATGAGTGATATGAAATTCAAATATGTTACATATATGCACACTGTAGTATATTTATTAATTGCAGTGTCAGAAAATGTGCTGAAAAAATTATTCATTTTCCAGGAAAAATATTTAGTTACCTGCAGTGCTCTTGAGTTTTATCAGCTATGCGTGTCCAAGATGTGTTATCACATGACACTTCAACATAATATGAGTAATGACGATCGTCACAGTCCCATAACAGTAAACTAAAAGATAAATAATTCAAGCAATGTGAATGGATGAACACCAAATATCAAACAAAGACTGCTTGAGAGCAAGCTTCATGCAACAATTGATGTCATAAAATGTAGTACGAAACATACCGCATCGAGTCGATAAGATATGGTTGCGGTAATTGCACAATGATTGCACCTGACCCTAACTGATGACAAGTATAACCATTGTCCCAGTCGTAATTACTTGTTTCCCCATTTATCAAAGCATTTCTACTGCGTGAAACTCCTTCAATAACAATGGCGTTGTTTGCTATCGTTGCCACATTAGCACTCGGAACTGAAAAAATTTTGGTGAAATATTGGCTCAAAATACAAACAAAAAAGATGAGAAATATTATTGCTTTTAAACATTTGAAATCAGCACAGCCACTAAAAATATTGAATGCAATCATGCAACTTTAAGACTATCTTCATTATTTGACTGACGTCTCTATCTATCTCCATCAAATGTTTTGCCACTGTCTGTATTAATTAGAAAGCAGACAGAGACAAAACATTCATTCACAACGTTCTTACTAAACTCCTTTATATAAAGCTAGAGTTAAGGATTACAGATCTTGGTTTAAAATTCTTATTTAGTCATTACTAGTTACTACCCGAAAAAAGAATTACCAAGTAAGGTAGTAACTGGATCAACATCGAAAGGTTCCGATGTATACATTGCTTCAATGCTTACCAAATGGAATGAATTATTTACTGTATTGTACGTCCCAACGATGCGTATAAAGCTATAAAGATGAGAATTCCATAAGTTATAAAATTTATTTTATCATATAAAACAAATAAGAACAGGCATAGTAAAGGATAATTAAGCCGTGGATTAAATAAAGGATACTGAGTTGTATGAAATGTGTTACAAGTCCTGTTCAAAATTTAGACTATATCAACAATATCTTCCAATCATGTATGTTAATAATGTAAGCATAATCATCTAGTTCACTATCATAACCGTTCTACCATTTAATGTGTTGCTTTAAAAATTAGCTAAAGCTGGGCAAAAGTTTATATATAATCAAAAATAATTTACTTCACAACTCTTGGAGTAAAGTAGAGCATCTGTCTTGACCGGCAAAGGTAATTAGAATGATCTACGACACGTATCCAAACCTCTTGATCCATACTTATCTAAAAACAGTAAATGCTAACCTACATTAAACCTAGCTCTATTCCTATTAACTCGAAATTTTAGCATAATTCTTTTCTTTCAAGTTCATAAAATAATGAAAAATCAAAAATCAAAACAAAAGATCAACAGAAAATTAAATGAGTTTTAAATAAAGTTTACTTCGACATAATAATTGTATGATCTTTGATCACGATCCCACAAAAGCAGTCGAATGTGATTAATGATGAACGGGCGTCCAAGCTGTAAATACAGTACTTTTCTTCAGAACGAAAAAAAAGCATCACTTTGGCATTATGTTAACTGAAAACAATAAAAAAAGAAAGAAAAACTTCCTCATACGCTATTGTCAGAACAGAAATAAAAAAAGAAGGAAAAAATCCTATGCTGACCTGAATAATGATACCGGGATTTTTATCACTGATAACATGAGTCGTAAAGCCACGCTCCATATCATAGCGACTAGTTTCGCCAGAAAGAAGAGTAGTGGAACCTTCACCAGTTAATACAGTAGCATTGAAGGTGGAACTCATCACATTTACATTTGGTACTGAAAAATGAATCGTGAAATAATCATTTGTTCCAATGAAAAAAAAAATCTTTTTTGAATCTCTATGATACGACAATTACCATACGATGATTTACTAAGACCACAATAAATTATCATTCTTTGGAAATAAATGTAGATGTAACATAACAAGTAAATTAAGTACTCTGACACTTACGCAAAAATCCTCTGTAAGTAAGTTCACCGCTTTTTTTTTCACTACGTTCTTTGATGGCATCCAAAATCGCATCACTGGCAACTAAACCGGAAGGTCGTATAACATTAAGTAAATCGTCCAATTTTATTAGTGAAAGTCGTAATCGTGCAACAATCATTTGCGCATCTTCTTGCTTAAAATATTTTACAATTAACCATTAATTTTATTTCACCGACAACAGTAAAGCACAAACTTGATCAGGATGTTGACGGATCCATTCACGTACAGCACGAAATATATCGATTTCAGGTGCACATAAAGAATCGCGTTGTATCATTTGTTCAACTGCATTTGCAGGGAGTTGCAAGAAGCCCTAAAATCTATTGATATTTATCTTTGAAATGAAAAAACATCACAGAGAAATGAAATATGCAAGTGTAATTTATAGCAGCATCCTTACCAGTGAACAGTTCTTACCTGAGTTGAAATAACTTCAGGTGCATGTTTATCAGCGAAATTTAGACATACATCACAAAGGGAGCGCAATGAGTATAAATGTGCTACACTGTATATCGTACAAACATTTCTAACATTCAACATTGCCTAGAAAATTGATATGAAATTTTATATTAGCTTAAAAACTAATCTAAATTAAATGTGCTGCAAATTATCAGTTTCTTATTTAAATGTGTATCTTGTTATTTTATTAATTTAAAAATAGATGAGAAAGAAGAAGGTAAAGAGGTACCACACTATATTTTGAAAAGGTTGCCTCAAAATAAAGTGACCCCTAATACAAATCTAAAGAATTACCTTCATATATTCCGAAATACTGATTTCTAAGTCAGTGAAACCATACTTGTGTGCTAAACCAAGAACCTCGAGAACTAGCTCTTCCTTCATTGAACTTAACGACAGCTTACCGGTATATATATACCTGGAACACAATCGTCAAATATAAACGGAAGAAACTAAGCCTGTAAAAGTCTGGAATCGGCTAGGAAAGTAACTTGAAACTGTAGCAAATACAAAAAGGAATTATGACAAGAATACAAAATATCAAAGAATGTACTTCATAAGCATTTTGAAACCATTCAAAGAAGTGTCGACTAATTCGATCTCCAAATCTCTCGTTTCCTTCATTCCATTATAAAGAAGAGCTCTAAAATACTGTAAATTTTTATATATTTTAACAATTTGCATAATTTAATGGAGAATGGGCAAAGGATGAGTACGAAATTTCAACTACGTAAACAGTTATTATGCTGACATGTACCTAAAGTACTGGCTTCGAGCAGCAAGGATAACTCTATGTGCTGCAACTAAGCGGCCTTCAACCTGAAATAAAATACTTTAAAAATGCAACTTATACACTCCAGGAGTAATTTTCAGATAAACTTAAGTAATTAATGTAATGAAAAGCATAATGAGTGCTCCGTTTTATAAAGGAAAGTGAATAAAACCTTCAGAGTGACATCACTACATTCACCAGTTATGAACAAATTCCCTATATGTTCGGCAAGATAATTTATATGCTGCACTTCTCCCGTAGCACCTGAAATTTTATTCGACTGATACAACGATTAAATTAATTTGTGATTTAAGTTCTTTTATCTTTAGATCATTACGTGTATAAATGATATAAATTCCTTCAATCACTTTTGTATCTACATGTAACCATTCAATCCACTATATGCAACATACCGCAACAATTCAAATTGATCGATGACGCAGAATTCTGAAAAGGAATAAAGTCGTTATGAAGTTGTGGATGATTGTCGCTCATTTCGTTTTTTTCGTCAATTACTCATTCCTTACGTGAAATCAATCTGAAAATTCACCGCAGAATTTCTGTTACTGATATTCAGTTGGGTGATTCGTCAAGCGTAAATGATCACGTAAATGATATATCAAATATCAGCACAACTAATAAAATTAAAACATATGTAAGTGTAAACCAAAATTCAGAATTCAGTGTCAATTCGTATCGTTATGAATACAAATACTACAATATAACTATCCTGGAGGATGCAAAATGTATATGTAGGAACGAGATTTGAGATCCAAACGCTACAATAAATAAAAATATCAAATGACGTGGAACAAGTACAAGAAAAACGACCACGTAAATCACGCAATATGAACATATCAATATGACTGGAAAACGTAGATCAGCAGCTCTATCGTTCATCTTTGCTGGTATCGATACGCAAATGAACAGTCCAAACAAAAGTTCGTATTATTGTTTTAAGAATGTGTTGTTGGGATGTAAACAGTAATTGTAAGGAATATTTAATGGTTGAGTAACTCTTGCAACTGATCGAGAAATCTCGGGAAATAAAAGCAAAATATAACAAAATTCATTCACGTCATACAGGTAAGTATATTATACTTCATCCATCTTTTGTTTCCTGTTATTCGTTGCTCTAAATATGAATGAATTTTTGTAGTTGAACATTGCAGATTTTGCTCATATTTGATTCACTATACGACTTCAGTTATTTCTTGAGTTTGAAAATAATTTTTGAAATTTGATTAATGAAATTTTAATAAATTAGTAATCGGTGGTTAAATCAAATTTTCTACATGATTAAATTGATTATAAAAAAAGAAAGAAAAGAAAACGAAATAACTAAGTGTTTTGTGCAAATAAAAGCTGCTAATTACATTTTGATCATTTGTTATATGTTGTGCAAATGTTTCAAGTGCCGGTGAATCGATCATGTTGAAATCTTTAAATTCGAAATTTCCTTTTTCTGCCTTCTCCTGAAAATTTATGCATAGTGAAACTTTTGTTTGTTCAAACTATATATTTAGGTAATCTTAACAATCATTTATCGGATTCTAGTAAAATTTGAATATTTTATACTCAAATTTTATTTTTGTTCAATTGAAATTTAAATTCCTATTTATTTATTCATTTTCATCATTTCGACGAATCATGCAAATAGAATGACCAGTGTATTAGACTAAGAAAAAAGTCTGTTAGCTAAAGAACTAACCAAAACATTCCGAGCGGTTAAGCCATCAAATATTATATGAACTTGCGCAACAGTTTCCAATTCATTGATTTCATCTTCTTCCAAAAAAATTTGCCAACTTCTATGCTTTGCACGTGTTTGTTCACGTTGCTTCAAGATCTCAATTATTTCCAAACTAATTCGAACGTAATTAATAAATCTGAAATAATGCATTTAACTTTTTGCAGAGGAAAAAATTTCCAGTCTCTATTAATAACATTTAAAAAATTAAACTAGATAAGCACAATTTCATTTAAAATGACTTGTGCCAATTATTTTGTTGAACACTAACTTTTTAATTTACTCAAGTATTATTGCCTCGAATCTGAGCTAAATTAGGATAAGTAAAATTATTTACTCATAAAATAAGTAAATGGTTTTTTCATACTTTGCAGTTACTTACCCTATTACTTCACTTTGCACAAACTTATAAACATTTCGACAAACAACAGTACACATGTCAGTGGTATTTATATCTAAGTGTACTGTAAGAGCTAATGCGGCTTTCTTCTTGCGTTTTTTGAGTATTACAATACAAACACATTGCAATAAATCATTCGGTACTTTTCGGAAATCAATTTTATACATTGGATTTTCATCATCAATTTCCTAAAACTAGTACTTTCAATGAGAGTAGAAATTGTCACATTCATTCAAACTTCTAGAATATACCTTTTCAGGTGCATTTAAGCAAATTTTATTAGCTAATTTACTTACGTCTTTGTAGCTGACTGAGGAGAAAAATTCATTTCGACCCATACCAAGATATAAGGATTCTAAACGCGTAACATCACTTGCCCCGCGTTCACGCGAATAATTTACTAGTTGAGTCCATTTTTGTAACGGCTCTGGTAGCTCATCAGGAGTTACCCGATACTTTTTTGCTAAATCAAAATTAATCATGCTATGATTTAAAAGATTTAGAAGCAATAAAAATACAAAAATTTACCGCTAGCAAGCAAAACTTCTCGAATTTCTGATTTATCAACCGATTTTATGATTTTAAAAACTTTTCGATCAAGAAGTTCGCCAATGGTTGGCCGTTTTTCATGATTTGGTTGCATTAAACAATGCCATAATCGTAGAATTTCTGAACTTAATGACTGAAACAAGTAATGATAGTCAAATAATGCACTGAATTTACTTCAACATAAAGTATATAAATGTGGCAAATATAATGCCATGAAAAAAAATAGAAACACTTCTGATACTTTGGAGAAAAAATAAAAATTGAGCAAACAGACTAAAAGTAAAAAGCAACAAATCTAATGATAAACCCATCTACTGTAATGCGAATAAATACAGTAACAAAGCAGTAATATTTTATTATCCTACTGTAATGCGAATGAATACAGTAAGAAATGTAATATCACATGCAAATATCCTACTGTACTGTTTATGTGATGTTAAAGAATGCTTTTATTGATTAAAAAGAAATGCAAAATGGTTTAACAAAAGAAAACTGCAGAATGAAACTTACAAATTTTACTCCACTTGGAAACCATCCATTATATGGTACAGGTAATTGAAATTTCATCTGCAAGATTAAGATTTAGAAATGAATTTAAACTTTAACTAAACTACATTCAGTGGACAAAAGATTTATGTATTAAATAATAATGATTAGATGAACTTACAAGTTGTTCAGCATATTGTTTCACATCCTTCGAATACATCGTATTAGTCAAATGAAACGTTTCACCGGTAACCATTTCCGGTATTAATAATCCTACATGCCTAAAAATAAAAGCAAACAATTCATATATTCATGTGAATATTTTTGAATTTAATTCTTTAATTCTCTCAACTACCTATTACTAATCAATACTGACTAAACTACCAAAGTTCAGTATGTGGTCCGTAATTTTCAATATTATTGAGAGCTTCTTCCGGTGCCCATTGCGTTGGTCGCCCGAAGAAACGATTATTCCGCAAACTAAAAATATCCATTAAACTATATGCAGTTTATTATTTTTTGAGAAGATACTACATTTTTTATCTGATTTCAATTCGATTCACTTATAGTTTCCATGACTCATTTTTCCTATCCTTAGATGAAAATTGGAGCTTTGTTGTTGTCAAGAAAAAAAAAAATGATAGAAATATATTGAATTTAAATTAATTGTATCTGAATTCAACTCTCTGAATTAATTATATTTGATTTCAACTTTTGTTTCTTAGGATGTAATAGAAAACCTAAGAGCCTTTCTAATATCTTCAGTTTTTAACACTGTCCATTTGAAACCAGTCAATTTGATATCACAATTTTCCGTAACAATAATTGATCGTGTAATCAAATTATTGTGTAAAGCATATTGATGTAAATATGAAAGTGCCTAAAAGGAAATGAGTAAAAATATTTTTAATAAACGTGGAAGTAATTAATAAATAGAAATTTTAATAATATTATATTAGATAATTTCAAAATTTACTCTAACTTTATGAGCGATCAAAAATAAATCATGCATAATTCATAATTCAAAAAGTTAATTTCATTTATGGTCAAGCATAAACAGTTTGTAATTCATAACAATTTTACGCACAATCAAGAATAAAGAATAAACCATACTTAAAACTTTACATTAAATGTAATTTCTAAATATTTCTACAACTTTTAAATTATTTTTAGCCTTACCTTAAGAATTTTACGCAAAATATGTCCAATAATATTTTCACTTAATACTGAACTTATCAACACTTCATTATTGTCTATCATATCTCTGTAAAATAATAATTAAGTATATTGTAGAATATAGAAAGTGAACTATACGAACAGATGAGAATACATTTAAGAAACAAATGAAAATGTTTGAAGCATATGATCGATGGTAAATTTCAGTTAAAAATTTGAAACGAATAATTGGGCTGTTTATAGACAAATTAAATGGAAGAATAAAACTTTTAAAAAGTAACAGTTATATTTTCTATATGAAAATGAGATGTGATATGAAGTGTAGTAGAGGTAAACGATTTTTTAGTGGTGCTCAGAAAAATTTAGCTTATAAAAATCAAAAAAATTTATTTACTTTCGTTTAACATGAAGAATTTGTTCCAAATCATAGGCCATTGTTTGATATTCCACAAATAAATAGTGTCGAAAAATAAAAACAGAAGAATACAGTAAAAAGCGATGACTATTCTCAAATTCTGCACATTTAATTAACTCATTTAGCTAAAAATTTTCAATATTTACTTTAAATAACTCATATAGATAAGTAAATTCAATAAGATAACTGTGAGAATTTTCGCTTTTTTTTGACTTTATCTTAAAGTTTGAACATTTTACAATAATGAATGAAGTAAATAAATAAACTTAATGATAGATAAGTGAAAGAAAAAGAAAATTCAATTTTGACCGATGTCAAAAAATAATTTATCTTCTTTATGAGAGAAATTTTCACTCAAAATCAAACAGTACTTTTTACAGCTTTTGTAAAATAAACTGAACCGTTTCTCGAAGAGTGGTACCATTAACAAGTGCAGTGACCATAAGCATAAGTTTCACATTATTTTGTCTATTTTTAACACAATATCGTACTTTGTAATGTTTTTGTTCGCTAGCAATATGAAGTGTTCGTAGGACAAAGCATAGTTTGAATTTGGATAGTAAATCGATTCTATAGCATGGAAATAAAAATTAATTCTATATTTTGAAACTAAGATAGGGAAATGTGGTGATAGATTGGAACGCTTGGAACACGACTCCAATTAAAATTATCTTTTTTAAAGCATTCGTAAAAATTTGCGAAAAAAATATATTGGTTAAGATTTGCTTTTCTTCTTGCACTACTAGAAACATTTATATCAGAAACTTGCTTAGCCATTTAATTGGAAAGGTAATACTACATTTTTTTATAAATATTTCGCTTCTTTTTTCTTCTTTTTAATAAATCATCATCCAAAGATTCTATTATTATTATTATCAATGATGTTACATCAAAACGTACTCATCGCTATCAACTTCTCGCGCATTTGTCTCCATTTGAGAATCTTTATTTGCCACTAGCAATTTATTGTAATAATCAAAACTATTAGCGTGAAATGATATTACCTCCCTTATATAGTTAAAAATATTTTAAATTTGCATATCATTTATCTTAAAAAAGAAAAATAAAAACATATTAGTATGAATTGATCATATTATTACATTGCCCATTTGTTTACAAATTCCGAGAGAGAGAGAGAGTAAATCTAACTTTGAGAGGAAAGAGAGGAAAAAGTATTATCAGCATTTATTTTAACAACTCTTCCAGTAATCTACTGTATACATCGATCATGTGTTGCGCAGACAGATATTCAAATTTTATTGAAAAAAAAAAAAAAAAAAACTATGAAAACATAACCTGTAATACATCATAACCTACATGTTAAAGGTAAATTATTCAAGTAAAGTTTTAAGATCAGCAACATCTCAAAATGCATTCACAATGTTACTAAATCATATTGCCAATGATAAATATATATAATATGTATACGAAAAAATTGCAACCAAAAGCACTGGACTTTCTCTTAAGGTTAACTATTAATACTATTTATTATAATAATACCCTACAATTATCATTCTTATAATACTTAACAATTATACCCATATTAACAATTTCGGCTCCTGTTTTTGAGTGAAATTATAACTCATTTTCGGATGAAACGAGGTAGCAAATTTATCCTATAAATTAAATTTAAATATGAAGAATTTTTGGATCAGTTATGTTCTTCACCAGAAGCATGATGCTCTTTGCGATATTTGTATTTTAGACGCTTCTCCTCCGGGATCAACATAACATACAATGAGCAAATAATCGTTATGGCGGCAATTCCCAAACTTAAACGATACATTACCTCCAAATGCACCCCATATGGTGATCGTTGAAAAAATGGATCTGTTTTAGGTGTCTGCAATTATGTAAGCATCAAACTAATAAATATAAGCTAGAAGGAATCCTCTGTCACTGAGAGCATATGAACACGAAAAAATATAAAACAGGTGTGAGACCATTTCTTTATATCACATTATAAAGACCTTTTCTTTATATACTGATATTTCAAAATCTTCATTGTAAATTAGTATGATTATTAATAATCACCGCGTTTATGCAAGTGCACAATGAAAAGATGAAAAAGCTTATTCGGCTTCTTAAAAAAAATAGCTCTCCTTTGATAATTAAATAATTTACTAATTTGTCTATGGAAGAAACGAAAGATTCTCAATGAAAAATGAATTTGTATAGATAATAAATTCACTCTAAAATTGAAGATAAAACAAACCATTTTATCATGAATTTCATATACTTTTTGCCGATTTTTACCGAAAAGAAATAATCTTGGTTTATTGTACCTATCATCCCACAATCCAGAACTGGCATATTCGTTTAATTTACGGAACATCTCATATTTATCCCTAGAAAAGAATCAAAAAATAAGTTAAAACAAGGCTAAGATTGACTGAATCTATAATTATCTATAAGTGAAAGTCAAAAGTCAAAATTGGACGGACAAAATGGAAAGTAGTCAAACAGCAATACTAATAGATAGCATATCTGATAATGAGAATCAAATTTAGTTTGGAAATAATACTAATCACCAAAATTAGTTTAAGACTTTTATAATTACAATATACAAGAGCTTGTCCTTCAATAACGAAGTTCAGAAATGACAAAACTTACTCCTTCGGTGACCTTGTTTGACTTGTTTGACAGCATCTGTTTGGTAACCTGGAAAGAGCAGTAAGTCGGGATAGAAAAGGCGCCGCTCGCATCGTGTATTACTGCAATAGAAGTTATACATAAAATTTGTCTTTCATTACAAAGTTCCGGTCCGAAACACAAGCGATATAAGTGAAAAATGTGTAAGTATGAAGCATCAAATATTAAATATACATCTATAATACCATTTAGTTTCAAAAAAAAAAAAAACCCCAAGGGATGTCTTAAGTTCCTTTTTTCCATGATACCAAACATTAATAAAATATAAGAATATTAATACGGTAAGCAACCATAACTTTTCATGACTCAATCATTTGGTAAACAACTGTTTAGCTTCATCATTTCATATATGAATATCGGAACTGCACTGATTGTGGAAGCATGGTCATGTCAAAAATTATTCACAGAGCCAATTCATGAGAAAATTGATGAGGAATATCCGTTTCGAATAAAATTAACGGGAAATTAATGAAAGAGAAGCACAATATAGAGAAAAAATTTTAAACCAAAACTTATGCAAGAAATAAGAATGAAAAAAATAATAGTGTCCTCATGGCATAATTTATCAACAAATTGTCATACTAAAACTTAATTGAACACAGACATTAAGGTGACGTTAAAACTCTAATATCAGTATAGGTGGGGAAAAGTATTCCTCTTATAATGCCGTAGAAACTTGATGGTTTGCTAAGGTACAAATATTTTTAAGGACATTGATGATAAATATAACGAACTTTTCTTTGGACACTACTTAGTTAATATTATCCAAACATGGTAGGGCGCTCTTCTAATCATCAAAAAAACCTTAGTACTTAATATTGAAATTATTAGAAATTTCAAAGATATATCATGGATCTAATTTCCCGAAGAATATTTGAAAGTACGACAGTAACTACGGCATATATGTCTACTATACTCAAGCTTTAATCATATCTATCATTTCCATTAGTCTACTTTTTGAAAGGACTAAAAGCATTTCTCCAACTGAGCACATGTTCAACTCCTTACATCAACTACGAACAAATTATTCATAACTCGGAATGTACTGGGCGACTAGCTGTTTGGGCGGACGATTCATATAGGCGTTCCATGTAAACTTCATATGGATCTATATTCATGAATTTATGAAATGATATAGGCCGTATTCGCTTAAGGTACAATTCTGAATAATCGCCCGGCTGAGCTTGATGAAAGGCTGCAGAGTGAATTATGGGGATGCCAAGACGACGGGCACACATACCTGAAAATAATGGTAAATTCGTCAGGTAAAAGATCGAAGTGAAAGCATGCAAGAAAATAAGAAAAAAGAACCAGATAAATTGCGTAATTCTTACAAATCTAGCAATATTTCCTAAATTTAAAGATATCAGTGACAATACATTATCAAATATTAAGCCTTAATGAATGCATCATAATACATCGATAAATATCCATAACAATTTACCAATATTTCAAAAAGTAATTATCATTTTAAAATTCAAAATAATGCAGAAGATTAACAAAATTTCAACTTCAAATCTTTGGAATATAAGTTTACAATTACAAATCCAGACTTAAAGCTCAAAATTTTCAATAAAGATATGCAAAAGCACTTACCAATAATCATATCATCAGGTGAATCGATACTCGGACAACCACAGGACGCTGTAATCTTTTCTACAGCTTTTCGCGAAAATATCATTCTGTAATTCGAACTTCTAGTGTATTAACTTAATATCATATATGAACAATAATATCATATATGATAAATAAAAACTTACCCAGAACCACCAGTTGGATAATCATATCCTTCACGACCATCAGCACTAAAACCATAACCGTATCTTTCACCAATAATTATTTCCTTCTTTGTATCATAACATGATAAAAGTTCATATAGTCTTGGAACACTGCAAACTGACTGATTGCATTTTGGTGCTAATGATGCGAAAATAAGGGGAAGGTATGAAGTGAAACAATTTAGCTCATATATATTTCAATCATTAATAGAATTAAAAAAAAAAAGTTGTATGTACAATAAAGCAAAGCTTACCTTATCAAAGTATCATCATCTGTTATCACCAACCACCTCCTTTTTACCATTTCGTCATTTTTCAAATAATATGACAATATACCAAAAGTTTTTCCACAGTGTCCTGTTCTATTTTAACTAGTTAAAAACTTTTAACTCTGACTTTAGAGCACTTAATTGCTGACAAATTTGGCAAAAAAGAAGAATTTTATCTGAAAAATCACCTACAAGATATCACTTATTTTCTTATCTCATTTATCAGAAAGCTTTTTTCTAAAATCTTTCAAATAATACATTAATATGAAAAAAAAAAAAAAAAATCAAATGAAACATTCATTTCGTATATCAGAAAAATACCTCTTTCAGTATTTTGAATACCAAGATTTATAGTTGGTACATAATGATCTTCCATATCGCTAAAATATTCTACAAATTTCGCTGTTTTCGCCCAAGTTCGTTTTACAATTACAATACGGGTTTTATGAAACTCGCTGAAGGTTTTGATTGCAAAATAGACATCGTTGTTGGTTATTTTACTCATGCACTAAATTTGTGAATTTAGCTCAGCCAATTTTAGTTAGACATCATCAACATGAATCATTGGCAAATAAAAAATAATTTATTTTGAGATGCTAAATTTTCCATCATAATTCCAATAGTGGATGTTTCATAAACACATACACACTAACACTACTGGTAAAATTTGAAACTTTACCATTACTTACAGAATTGAAACTTAAAACACTAAATATCCTAAAAATTTCCCAATATACTGAAACTAGACTAGAAACAACAACTGTATAGACGTGAAATGATAATCCTTAATATGACAACTTTCTACCATTACAGTAATGAATGCTGTTATCCTTTGCAATTCTTTTTATTTCTTTTTAGTTGAAAGAAGCACAAGTAACGCATATAAACTATGCAATATGTGAAAAACAGGAAATCTGGAACTGAGTAAACCTGAAAGTCCGGTTGTACATATCGAGTAATACACTGCGATTCGTGTTCCAAAAGGCAGAAAGACAGCGTATTGTTTAATCTGACACCGCGTTTGTCTTTTAATAGCCTGGCAAACTACAATCTAGACTTCTTCAATATATCATTTCATTTTAAAATAATCTCTTCAACGATATTTCTGATAAGAAACAAAAAATCATTGATTCAGTACATAATCTTTAACCCTTGGCAAAACTTGATAACACTGAGAAATTATAAAAAAGAAAGGGAGAGAAAAGAAAAAAGAAACTGATTCATTGATGGAAAAGTACAAAGAATAACCTCATGCTTTGCATCAATAGTGAAACCTCTCCAGACAAGGGCACCATCATTTTTGAGTAAAGTCCACGAAAGTGCTAGTCCAGTAGAAAAGTCAGGATAAAAAAAGTGCTGCTCATCATCCTCATATTTGAAAAAATGGTGAATTATTGTATTCCTGAAAAGAAAAAAAATAGAAAAACGATTAAACATATGAAAAGTTTCCAATAAAAAATTAAGTAAATGAATGGGCACATACTGTAAATATAGTTCGGAATTTTCAAGATTAAATTTACTCCTGCAGTCGCATTTCTCTTTATATTTATCGCCATCACTAATATGCTATTGTTTGTAGATATAATAAAATCATTTCGTTACAAGTGCCTTGTGTCTTTTTTAAAAAAAAAAAACATATAATTGAACATAAAAATCAAAGAATTCACGTTTTATCAGTTAATCCTCGTCCAACTGCATGACCTACATTACGATCAAAAGAATTCAGGTATCCGACCAAAGCACTAATATTCACCATTGTATCTGGCTCACAGATAAATAACCAATCCCACGTTTCTTTATATTTTCGAGATAGACTGCAAATTATTGTCATTTAGAAAGCTTCAATATCAATATTATACTGTCTAGCATTTTTTCTGTCGCAAAATCAACCTTTCCAGCATTGGCCAAACTGCCCAAGCTCCAGTTAGTTCCGGCAGATCCTCATGTGTTCTCAGAATATCGGCATGCTGAAATTCATAGAATTTTAATCAAAATTATACGTTAACAGAAAGAACAAATAGTCATAGCTATCTATTCTAAACTCCTCAAAATATCTGCAAAAATCAATGAGACATGAGTCATACATAGAACATAACCATATACTCACCAACTATAGTCAAAAAGTAATTTACAATTAAACAGGCCCAATCTCCTACCAAACTGCTTAACGAGGAAAAAAAAAAGATATTAGATGCAAAATGAGAACGGAAAGTCTGAAACAAAAATAAAAAGGTATAAGGAAATCGAGAACGTCATTTTTACCAAATTTGAATTCTCCGAAATTTGTCCTTTCAATGAACTGAATAAAACCGAAGTTTTGTGAGCATCGTAGTCAGCATTTTGTGATAAAATCACAAAAAGAATTGAAATTTCATGTTCGGCCACTGATGCTTCTAATAAAAGTGTAAAGGTTTCATTATGAATGAAATGAATCTCTTGCTATCTATTCATCGTCAACAAAAGTGCAATAGTTTACCAAAGGGCAACTTGTATGTTAAGGCTTAATCCAATACAATTTCAATTTTAGTATTACATTTTAGAAACTTAAAAAAAAAATCAATCAAGCTAAATAGACGAAATAAGCAGCTTATTACAGGACCTAAGTGTTGCTAATATCTGTGAAAAAACAAGTGAAAAAAAAAATAGATGAACTTAAACTAAGCTTACTTCGATCATCAATTCCGTAGGCCGAAATCACCCAAATACACAACAACCCTAACAACATTATTAATTATGATCATGAACTTCGTAAGATAAACATGCCATCGTTTATTATTAGTCGAACTAACTCTGCAAATATAAGATCTGTCGAGACAAAAATTAACAACATAAAAAAGCACAAATACGTTTAGGCCTAAAATTTTGGTTATTTAATAAATGCCGAAACATTTCACCAAGCACTTTAAACCAAAGACTCCTTTTTTTCCAAACGTAAAAAAGATGAGATGAGAAAAGAATTTCAGCTAATAAAACATTTGCAAAGTTTAAATAATCATATTTTAAACACATATTTATATATTTTAAATAGTCATCTACAGCTATTGTTCAGGCGTAATAGAAGCACTAAAATCAAGATGATATCTTGTATGGTCATTCATAATAAGTAGAATAACAAGGATGTGTCCTGTAATGAAACAATGTTTTACGTTTTTATAAGTATTTTATAAAGTAAGTTAAAAGTAACAAGTCATACAATTGATTCAACTTTATTGCAGTTCGTCATAAATCATATGAACAGCGCTGGATGAATGCCTTCCGGTAACTGATAAGCCGCAAACTGATAGAAACCCATCACTGGAACAATAAATTTTCGAGATTCAAATTTTTCCACATGAAGAATTCCCCTTGAAACTTAAATATTAAAAAAAATTCGTCAATAATCCTCAAAAAAGGCAATAATCAAGGCTTCACTTGCATAGATGCATTACTGCAAATGACATTAATTGGATATGAGAATGAATAAACGTATGTTAATTGAAACTGAAATGTTTCCAGAATATGCACAAAGAACAATACTTAAGCATATAACCAGTGATCTTTTTACAAATGAATCAATCTATCGACTAGCAATTCAGCAGTTACTAAACCAATATGAAAACAATCCCAAATTACATTAAATTAATTAACATAAACAAGTTTAAATTGCTTCATATGATAAGACAACAACTACATAACTTTTCCTTATTTTCAATCAAGACATATTTTCGGATCTTACTTTTGGCAGCAAAAAATAATAATCAATTAAAATGTGAAGCAGAATAAACGCCTATCCATGAAACCATAAATGTTGCAAATGCAGACCCAAAACCTTCTTTTGCTAATTCCCAAAATCCACCTAAAGAATCTTCGTCTACCTGAAATGAGTTTCATTTAACCTAAATCGAATCAAACAAGCTTTCCTCTTTCATATTATTTGAAAAATTCACCGTAACTCTTACACAAAATGTGATTCGATGTACGGACACAAAGGCTTCAAAAAAGATATCAAGGTATGTTTCTTACAGTAATTACTTTTTACTACATTTTAGCACATACAATGAAAAGTGCAACAATCGATGGAAAAGAAAGTGTGAGTATGAATTACTAACACGAGAAACTGTTATTTAAATATTAAAATTAAAGAGTAAGCAAATAGATATAATAACAAACCTTTTGAAAAGTGGTAGCGTATAATTGACCAATCGCGGTAGAAATTACGATATAGAGGACAATAGCCAGAAAGCCATGCAGAGGTATGAAACCCCAAAAAATGCCAATCATAAGTGCAAGAAGTTGCCTGCCCCAATACAATACATCCAATAATTCATCTTTATCGGGCCATTCACTTCCGCTTACCAACGCTTTGGCCAACTAAGAAGATAATGAACGATATATGTGAGCTATGCATGCCGCGGGTTCGACCGCATGAACTTCGTAATTTTGCAGCTGAATCATGCATAGGCTTCGAATCAGGAAAAAATCTAATGGGCAAATTTCTTTGACTATCCATGCATACCGATGGTTACAAGTGTTGTTACATCACATATGTCACATGATCGTGTGACCTTCGATGTAAATAAAAATTATCCGATACAAAGAAACAACACTGCTGGAACTGGAAAGTAAAACTGGACCTAAATGAAATACCTCACTATCTTATCAAAGCAACCACTTCACACAGTATCATTTTATGGGATTATTAAGTCGATTAATATTTTATAGTAAAAAAAAGGAAAAAAAAAACTATGAAAAATTACCGTTTTTTTCCAGTGAACAGTTTCGGAATTAGTTTGCAGCTGTGAATTCTTCTTCGATGACATTACAATTCGTATCTTAATTTGTTATATAATCCAAAATTGTATAAGTTTAACTTGCAAAACGATATTTACATTCAAAAATTGTACTAGAAATCTATAAATTAATATTAAACAATAGTACTACAAATTCATACTGAGATAAATCTTTCCAATTTTAATTAATTTTATGATGTCCTCGGATGCAAAGAACTCCCAAATTAAAATATAGCTAAGCCTATGATATCTATGATAATTATATATTTAAAATCCGAAAAATAATTGTCTTTGAAAAGCCGAAATGATTTTGCGATGTTTTGTGCGAAAACTGATTATAGCAGGATTTTCATAGCATTACAGAACTCATAAAGAACATATAACCGACAGAGAGAAAAATAGAGAGAGAGAGAGAGAAAGAGAGACAGTAACTCATTATCTGTCAGATTTACTTATCAGCTTATCACATTTACTTAACACCTTAACACAGACCACCATCCTATACTTCCTCTTTCTCTCTACAATAAAACTAAAGAAAATCACGGGTTAGGTGCTCAGTTGCAAAAAAAGAAAATCAAAGGAAAGATGCGCAATGCTACGTGTAGAGCGTCCTTTATCACCCAGTGATTGCATCAGTGATATCACTTATAACGATGGTATTGCTGTAGTTACTTATCACTGATAACGATGTCACTACAGTAGTTACTTATCACTGATAACGATGGCATTACTGTAGTGACCTTTCGCAGGTAACGATGGCATTACTATAATTACTTACCTATAAACATCGTTTGAAAAATTTTGTTGAGTCAACAAAATTTAGATGTTATTAGTATCATTTAGCATCGAAAGCTGTAATAATACCATCGTTATCATTGATAACGGGCACTTATCATAAACTTTGATTTTACTGTTAACTTTAATTTTTGATTGGTTTTATCGTAGGTTTTAATTGATTTTATTGTTGATATCTTTATTATAGATTAATTTAACAATTTTATTATTGCAGTTAGTATCTGATAATATCACAAATGTGATAAATGTGTATTTTTCATTTACCCCAAATAATTGTATTGTATTCCTGAATTACCTTAATGATTTGATCATTTCATTTATTAGAAATGCAATGCAATATGCGTTAAGTTTACTCAAATATCATATATGCATGATCGATACTGATTCAAGTAATCTTATAATTAATTATACAATTATTAGTTAAATTTTGACTTTTCAATTCGTTTAAATTAATTTGGCTAATATTGTCAGAAAGATCAAATTATATTATTTCGAAATAAATTTGTGTTAGATCCATATATCTCAATCAATAAATCATGTATTCGGTAGTCACTTCGAATGTTAAAGTTCACTAACAAAGAAATATGTTCATTGTTTTTATTGAAAATTGCTCTTAATTTCATTGTAAAGGTTAAAGGTTGTTCCAGCCTGATAGCCAAACTAAGATTCAATTATTTAAAAGAGATTTTGGTCCTAGTGAATCCTTTCTCAATCAAAGGAATAGCATAGAATTATCAACTCTAGCAATGATAAATCACTTATAACTACCTTATAACTCTCTTAAAAATGAAATCAACCATTACCAAATGTCCGATTGTGCCATTTCAAAGCTTCCGAAACAAAAAAAAAAATTCATAAGTATAGGTATATTATTTGAATTTATTTTCTTTCTTTATTCCTGTACGTTTCCAACGAGATATCTCGGTCCGATTTTGTCCACTTTCATTTAAGTATAGACTATGTGATAATCAGTATATTTTCCTTTTTAAAGCAATAAAACGATTTATCTCTTCTTTTTGGTAATGATAGTTGATGATATGGACGAGGACAGTATTTACAATTGGTAATTGAGTAATTAAGTAAAAAAAAAAACTACACTTGGTTAATTAAATGACACCAAACTTTCTTTCTTTCATACTGCATCAACATCTAATCACCAATTACTGCATTCAGTGAATTTCTTGTACATTTCAAATTAAATTTGAATCTGTTAATAATTTGTAACTTATTGTTTGCGAGTTTTCCCGTTCATTTTTATTGATATCAAACAAAGTTTTAGATCCCAATGAAGTAAATGAGCAAAACATTTTAACTTTAAGTGATGAGAGTTTTATTTTTATTTTTTTTGGAGGTTTTTATTATTTTAGGAAAGTATAGTGCAAAGATAGAAAGTGAATTGTAGTAGAATTTTTAGATGGACGGAATAGTAACCAGAACAGATTTTATGAAAAATAGGACAATTTCCACTTTTAATAGTGAAGTAATGAAGAGTAACGTTTACATTCTTAGTATTATTGCATAAACCGAAATGCTTGTAATATCCTTCGCATCACTTTTCATCAGGTTATTTCTTTTAAATTAATTGAAATGGCAAAGTCCAAAATGATTCCGTATTAACTAACGTCTTCGTCGTCTGGAATATTTCCCTGGAATGTATGCACTTCGACTTCGATAATGATCCTTGGAATTAATACGTCTGGAACGTCTGCAATTTCTCGATCGTGAACGTGACCGTGAACGTGAACGTGAACGGCGATGTTTGTATGATAATATATCATAAAATGGTGGTGCGCTACGTGGTCGTGCCAATCGAGCAGCCATAGTTGCTCGACGAGCTAAATTGTTTGCCTAAAATGAACAATAAAAAAATGTCAGCTTCAAGTAAATGTATGTTTTACTTTATAAAATTAAACCACAATGTCTAAATGTAAACAAAATTTTGTATGGATTGTATAAATTTTTTTTTTTTTGGAAATTTGTGGGACTTTTTATGAACTTACGCAAACATTTGACATCAGTGTTTCCATCTTTAAGTTATTCAAGAAAAATTCAATCATTCTTTAAAAGGTGAAAAGATTTGACTTCTTCATTCCCATGCTCTCCTTCATGACCAAAAACATGTTCAAATTGTACACCATTTGGAAATTTTCTCGCTAATCGTTTCAGTTTAAAGTATTCTTCATGAAATCGTCCATTATAACCATCATTATTCATTGCATATATAAGCGGTAGAAAATCAGTACGCAATATAATATTTTCACCTCTAGCAAAAGAAGATAAAAGAAAAAACAAATTTCAATTGTTTGAATTGATCAGAGCAAAAAAAAAAAAAACTGATCAATCAATATATATCGCTTACAGATAGCATTTGTGTATTTGGTGATTAGTAATTTAATTTTACTTGTACAAATTCCATTTTCGTAGTGATTTCAGCGCTGTCTTAGCTGCAATTATCTCAGCCAATCCACTATTATGTTCATGACCATGAATTGCCTTACTTTTATTTAAAGGATGATTGGGTCCAAAATAAATGCCAATACCAGATGCGTAATGATCAATGCAAGAACCATCGGTGTAAATCTTGAAATAATTGGTAAAATCTCGTAGTTTAACATATATATATGTATAATGAATCCTTATTATTCTCTTTACTCATCGATAAATCTATTGAGGTTACAATATTACCGAACTTTTTGATAATTTTTTGAGGAAAATATTTGCAGTTATATGTTATTGAAATTTGCAATTATCATTCATTTAATTTTCGATTATCAAACATTGAAACATTTTATGAGTCAAAAAAAAGTACACACAACAACAGGTGGTAAATTGATTGTATTAATATCAGTTCGGGTAGATCCGTTGGATTTTGTAGTTCCATTGGTATCAGTAATGGTTGAATGTGTTGTTTGTGTCCATTCTGAAACATATGAAATGAACATTGAAAAGATCAGAGTTGCATTCTGAAATTCTCAAATAAAACCGTTGAAATGAATTATATTGTAATCCAATTTGAAAAAAATTATCATCATAATTTTGTTGATGATGAATACCTTCAAGCATTCTATTTAATAGTGAAAACACCCCGGGGAAACTATTCCAGCTGTCACTACGATGTATTAGATTGTATATCGAGCGAAGCATTAGTGAATTATATGTTAAAATGACCGGTAACCAAATAAACAACCATTTTTATAAATGGTTATTTTAAAAATTTGCATAGTTTCTTATTATTTAATAATGCAATCGCAAAATACTTTTCCATAAAAAATGAATAGAAATGAAGTGAAACTATATTATATGAAATTTAATACATAATTGAAAAAAAAAAAAAAAACATTAACAAAATTAAGTAATCGAAGGATAATCTGAAGGTGAACTACTCCTATTCATTCAGTCTAAACCGATCATTCATCATTTTATACTTCTCTTTTTTCTCTTGGAAAGTTGAATTTATTAGTAAAAATATCCGAAATCGAATAATTGCAACATTTAAATTATACAATCATTTTTCGTAAGCAAAAGATTATTAATTATTCCCAATAAAATTCTCAAGAAAAATTTTTGAAACTACCGTATTCTCCTCAGTTTTTCGTAATATTTCATTTTAAAATCATGATTGCTGTTATTTGTTTGCATATGCAAACTATCTTCTGAATTATTCAATAAAAAAGAATGAAGAAAATGGAAAATAAAATATGATATGTGCATAATATTTAAGATATTATAAATTTTATAAATTAACGAATGCAAAAAAAGAGAATCAATTTGGGTTGGTTTCCATTTAAATATATGCTTGATATTTAGGCAGTTTTAAATAAATTTATTTAATAAATTCAAAAAAGTCAATTTTAAATTCAATTAAAACATAAAATAACCATTATTGAAATTTTTAAAAATGTCAAATGATAATGACACAATGGAAGTGAATTGTAGGATGTGTTTAAAGATTTGCTCTTTTATGGAAATGCAGAAAACACAACTGTATTTACATTTTTTTGTTGAGTAAAGATGAATTTATTAATTTTATTAGTACAACCATGTATGATTACAAATTTTAAAAATCTGATCGTTATTTAATTTGGAATCCAAAAAGAAAATACGCTAATAAGAATGACAATTAGATTGAAATACCTATACAATATTCAGACATTACAAGTAAATTTAATTTAGATTCAACAACAATCAAAAAAAAAAATTAAGTTTTACTGGAAGATCTTAAGATTAAAACTGAGAACAATTTTCAAGATAATAAGCGATGAACGTATTCTTTGTTAACAAACTGTACGTACTCTTTGTTCTGGACAATAAGGCGGATAACTTAGCTATAATTGAAATTGTTGAATAAATGATTTCTTGCTGAAATATGAAATCGAAGCAGTTTTTTATTTGTCTAAGGAATATTTCGACATGTTATAATTCGACTTTACTGACAATCATTAATTAAAATTACCAATTATTATTTTTTCTTTTTCATTTCCTTTAATTTACACCAAAAAAAAGTATTTAATTACGTTCGTTTTTTATTCACTATGAATGTAATGAAAATCTATAAACATTTAGCTAATTCTTGTTTCTAATTAGTAACTGTTTCTAATTGTAATTATTTAATATAATTTTTTTAAAAATAAAGTGAGAACAGATTTCTCGCAATTTAATTTGAACATCTATTTTTTCATAATTTTCATTTTCTATTTTTATTATTTAAGTTTTAGTGCTTTGCATCACTTTCTTCTAATTAAATATTCAAGCTAAATTAATACTGAAAAATTACAGTAATTGACTTTAGAGTTTGAAAACTGAAAGGGATAGAAGAAAATATATGAAATTAAATGAAGTGTATTATACATCCTCACGAAAAAAAAAAAAAAAAAAAACAAGATTAAGAAGTTTTTTAATTTTTCTTTTTCAACAAAGGCTTTCGCTTTTTCAAGAAATTAGCAAATGTTGGAAATATGATATTTTAAATTTTAATAAGCTTTTCAAAATCAAAAAATAAAAGAAAAAAAATTAACTTCTTTTAGAAGCAGAAAAGAAAAATTATGTCGCATATGTGACTATCAAAAAAAAAGAAAGCTGTTTTCTCTGAATTAAGTAATTTCAAATGAAATATCAAGGCACAAGTAAGTGATTAAACTTTTAATTATTTATTTCTTTTATTATTATTACATATATAAACAATTTTTATTTCTCAAATTTGCTGTTTTGCTGTTAAAAATTTTGTAAATTAATGTAAAAATCTAATATTTCATGAATTTAATAAGTGATTTCTCTTCGTTTCCGAATGAAATCACTTCGTTTCATTTTAAGCTGAATTCATTTTGCTTCCATCTAGAGAATTCACTTAATTAAATTATTCGACTCATCTTTTGGTACTGTCTTGGGCGATTAATCATAATGGAAAATCGAACCATATTTGATTTTTTTTATTTGTCATATAGTGAGACTAATTTTTGTACTATTTGGATTTAGAAAATTATTTTTTTTTTAATTATTTTTTTTAATGAACTAATTTTATCACTTTTTAACGAATCATTTAGATATTTTGTCCAACATTACGCAGTCATTAAGTGTCAATTAGTTTTTATAAAATAATAAACAGTAGTGGGTAAATTTTTTAAAAATGAATAATGATGAGATGATGATATTGATTGATTATTACAATTAGTGCATTTAATGCAAATTTCATTTCTAATTAAATTTTTTTTTTAGTACATTTCAGCTTCACAACAATAAAACTATATTTTTTAACTACAGTTAATATTAGTACTAATACATGAATTTGAATTTTTTACTTAAGAATATTAATAATTTCATAGTAACAATTAAGACAATCATTAAGGTTATCAAACTTTGTATTTTTTCCTAAATTAATCTCTGTTATTTCTTATGAATTAAAGTTAATACATTTCAGCTTCACAGTGTTTCTTTTTTATTTTATTTACTTATTTTTTTGAGTTAGTATTTCTTAACATATGAAATTTTCGTCTTTTCTTGTTGAAATGTATTTGTTCGTTTAAAAAACGATAATTAAACAACATTTTATAAAAAATTCCATCAAAATGCTCTTAATAATGTAATCACTAGAAATTATTTATGCCAATAAATGAAATAATTATTTAGAAATAGTGTACAGTGCTGCACTCTATATGCAATAAATTCCATGCCTTTTTTAGCTTAAAATTTATTGAATTAAAAGTATTTCGTGAACATTTGGTCAAAAAACGACATTGATTAATTAATTAGTCAATTAATTAATTAAGTAAATAATGATTCCATTTTTTAGCATAAATAAATTTATTAATCAATATTTTATTACATATCATTTGTTTAATGTTTTTTTTGATTTGTCTTGCTACCATTAATTAGCTTGTTCGGTTTCAATAAGCTAAATAAGGTATTCATTTTATTTTGTCTATTTATAGATTATGTGATTATTTGAATCATTCATTTTTTTCTTCCAATCTTCTGTTTGTTTGTTTGTTTTCAGATTTAACTTAACATATCAATATTGTTACCACTTGATTATGTTTTTTATCTGTTTCATCAATTAATTGAATTTATTTTTTGTTCATTTTTCAAGAAATATATTAAATGGTAATTATATTCATTTTTCTTGACATTGTCTTTCCTATTTTGATTATTTTGTTCGCATTATGTAAAATTCACAATGTAAGCATGAAATGGTACATAATTAATTTATTGGCTGCGTACTGTATTAGTAATATTGGACGTAACATTGATGAACAGTTAGAAAAGTTATTACAACTTGATAATGTTATACATGAAATGTAAGTTTTTTTATACTTTAGTGTTGAATATTGCAAAAATAATTGGGAAATTTAAAAATTTTATAAAATTGAGCGAAATCATCGGAAAACAATGACAAATTAATCAAATAATGGAAGGTTTAGACAAATGCTAATGTCAATGCCAGCAATACATTATGTATGTAAATTTTAATTTATTAAATAATTTCATTAAAAAATCTATCTTTTATCTATCTTTTATAAACTCCAAATAAAACTTGTAAATAACAGTTTGAAAAATTAAGAAAAAATAACTTCAATGGAAAAAGTTTCACTTTTTTCAGCTTTCATTGGCTTGCAATATATTTGAGAGTGGCGTCATTTACGTTGATACGTTTGACATTATTCCTTTATATCTTTGAAATATACAGCATTTACACTCTTAAAACAAATATCATGGAAGTTTTTTATAAAAGGTTAATTGAACTTTCATTTTTATTTGTCACTATTTTTTTGTTATCCAAATTATAATTATAATTACAAGGTTAAATTAATAAAATATATTCAACAAATTAAGGTTTTCACGGATAAATTTTTGAAAAATTACAGATAGTTAGTTTTTGAAATTAACTCATTAAAAATAAATATAAATGTTTCATTTGTCAGTTTTTTCACGTAATTTCAAATGTTTTTCAGAAAATTACGAACATTTGCTTTTATTTATTTATGTACACAAATAATTTCAATCCCTGTCATAATTTCACACTTTCTTAAATTGTCAATTGTCAAATTTATTATGACAATATATTATGTGACAGTTGCCACTGTATATGTTAGCTCGATCGTAATAATAGGCTTTGTAAGTCATTACAGTTATTCTTTAATTAGTTTTAATGATGTAAAAAAAAAAATTAAATAATAATTTGAACTTTTTCCTTTCCTCTCTCACTGAGTATTTACGAAAACGAAAAAATAAAGTCTCGCAGAATCCTTGTTTTCTTTGTTTTTTATAATATCAGAAAAGTACGAATTTTCTCAATAAATTCTGAAATACATAATTACAAATTAATTAGATACATTAATATCGATTAACTCATAGTCTATTTTTTTAAATATAAGTACATTGCCACTTTTCTTTCAATTGCAGGCAATTTATACCGTTTATGATCACAGATCATTCAGGAAAAATCAACGATTCAAGAAAGCTCTTACACCGCTCATTTTTTATTTCTTGCCGATTACACTTATTGATTTGCCAAGTGGAGGTGAAATTATTGAAATAAACTTATTTTAGTTACTATTTATTGCGTTTTTTTCTTCTGAAATAACGAATAATAAAAATATAAAACGGATAATAAATTTATAAAATACTTTTTTTTAAAAAAAAAACTTAATATGAGGAAGTCTGAGCATAAATTACTGAATCAAATAAAAAATCTATTAATAATAAAAAAAATTTGATTACCATTTTTTTCTTATGACTAATTCGAAAACAACTAATCAATTTTATTCGAAAAGAAGCAACAAAAAAAAAAAATCGTTTCAAATAAATTTGTTAATGAAACAGATAAAAGAGTGATAAAAAATTGACTAAAATTCTTTTTTATTTGAATAATTTCTAGTTACCGCTGTTGCATCACTCATTGGTATTAATCGGAATATAATAAAAGTTATATGGAGAATTACTCTGATTGTTTTAATGGTGTGATTTAATCATTTACTCTTTTTATTCTTTTCTACTTATTAAATTAATTAAAAATATGAAAATATAATATCATCAAATAATTTCATTCATTTCATTAATTACAGATTCGTACACCGACCGTCGTTTTAATCACAATTTTCGTTTTACCACCATTTCGTAAAGCTTTTTTCGATTTATTGGGTATCAAACGTCGTCAGCAGATTACCGTAATACCGCTCCATAATAATTTCCTTATCTCTCGATGAAATGATATCATATCATATCGTATCGTATGACACTTACCCATATGCGTTAATAAAAAAAAATTACCACAAAATAAAAAAATTACCACAAAAAAGAAATATGAAAAGTAAAGACTAAGAGACCAAAATATAGAAACTAAGAGAACAGTGAAAATTAAAAACTAAAAGAAATCGATTTTAACAAAAAATTTAAAATGCGATTACAATAGGAAAAATAACAAGCAGAAATTATAACAATAATAATAACAGCGCTAACAACAAATGCAACGAAAACAATGGGCGAAATTTTTTCGCAAAAAAGCAAAAAATTCTAATAAAATTTTATTAATTAATCAATTAATTCAACATTACCATTACTTAAGTTTCAATAATTTTCGAGAAGTTAATGCATAAATTAGTGATTGCAAAAAATCTGCAATATTTATAACAAATTTTAAGCAGAAGAATGTTGCCGTTTTTACAAATTATAAAAAAGATCAAAAAAAAAAAAGGATTATAAACAGTTTTCTTTTTAGTTTTTAATACAATGTGGTAAAAAAAGAAAATTCTCCTTGAAGCAAGAAATTTTTTGAACCAAAATAATAAATGGAATTTAAAAAGAAAATGATAGCAATTTTCCGCTTTTTTTCCTTTTTGTATTATTTTTTGCCATTTAATGATTAGAATTTGAATGATTTAAATCTTTTTTCCTTTTTAGAAATAATACACTTTTGCTTTATGTATTTTGTTGCGCTTTGAAGTAGATCCCGAATGTTAGAAATGAATGATTGTAAATTAAAGTTTTTAACTTTTTTTCTATGGAACATTTAATCCTGCGGATTTTTTCCACAAGAATTACTGTAATGATGGATTTAAAATATTTAAAGTATAATGCACCTTCATTTTTTTCTTTTCCTTCCCCTTTTTTAAACTTTCGTTCATCTAGCATTTGTTTTACTATTAACCTTCAAATCTGTAACTCTTGATTAACATTTTAAAATTGTATTTTAAAAAGAAAAGAAAGAAGAAAAAAGCGCTAAATGTAATTAATTTGATGATTTCATGTGACCGATACTTCTTTAGTAAATTATCAATTTTGTGGAGATCCATTATAATAATAGTAATAATACTACCATCAATAGTAGAAAACAATAATAGTAATAGTCAATAATGATAATAATATTATTACTACTATTGTTTATTATTGTCTTTTACTCACTTATATTATTGTTTATTTTGAACTTTTGACCAGGAAAATCTTGAAATTATTTATTTGAATTGAGGTTTGTTTACTGAATAAGGTGGGTGTTGCTCGCTTTCACGAAGTTATCAAATTGTTGAAAAAGGGAAATCAAATTTTCTTCGAGTGGTTGGAATGTGAGCAGCGCAAATGACGTCAATTGAAGAGGCAGAATTTTAACTTTGACATATTTTAACATGAAGTATCATAGTAAACAAATGAAAAAGATATAAGTAATAAAGGAAATTCTGTTACGTTTCATTTAAAATAGACTAAATAAATTGCAATTCATTATGTAGAATTCTATATTAATTTAATAAATAAATAATTGCAACTATCAAATAAACTTCAAATAATTGAATAAATGAATAAATAAATAAACGAAGAAAATGTTAAATCTAAAAGTAATTTTTATCTCGAATTAATAAAAAAAGATTAGTGCAAAAATAAATGTAATAAATAGATCAACCTATTAAATAAATTACACAAAAATATTAATAATAAATTTTAGTTTTAAACTTTAATAAAGTAATTCACAAAGTATTTATTTTGAATCCTTATAAAATTTTCTAAAATAGTAATAAATGGAATTTATTTCCCAAATTTATTTTAATCGAAGAAATTGGCAAGGAAAATATTAGACAGAAAATTAATTTACTTTTTTATTTACATTTATTTGAAGGATGACTGAATTCAAAATAAATGCATTATCTTTACTCGTCGATAAATCTATTAAAGTTGCAATTTACTTAATAATAATTTCTTGAGAGGAATGCTCCAAGTTGTGTCTTATTGAAATTTGTAATTATCATTCATTTAATTTTCGATTATCAAACATTGAAACATTTTATGAGTCAAAGAAAAGTACACACAACAACAGGTGGTAAATTGATTGTATTAATATCAGTTGTAGGCAAATAGGCCGAAGGTACTATTACGGTAACTAAAGAATAAAGAGGGGGGTTGTGTATAGTGTATCTCATAGTCAATAAAGAACAAAGGAGGTCGCTAACAAAGGAGTCATCCTAACAAGCAACGAATCGAGGGGAAAAGCACAATGAAATGAGACTGAGACAAATGAGACAATAGACGTACAAAAGAAACGATGTGGATATTAAACCAGAACAAAGAAGGGTTGTCAGCGATATAAGCGGATCAATGTGTCGATGCGGATATTACATGGAGTGGACGAGTTAAGGGACGGTGGTGTTAGGGCGCGCTTAGGGGAAAACGGTTGGGAGGGCGCGTAAGAAGGATTAGTTCGTAGGACACCAACAGGACAGCAACGGGGTTTAATTACCCAAGTTTGAGGTAAAAAACAATCGACGACAACAACGGAGATTACTTATCCAAGTAAAGTATTAAACGACGTGAATTACGAAAAACGACGAATTCAACGGGTGGAGAAATACAACGGCAAGCACAATATGGTAGCAATAGAGGATGACGTACAAGCAAGCGACAGTTACGACACTCAACGACAATTCAAAGATCAAGAAGAAAAGGGGAAGAAACCAACAACAGTCAGCTCGACCAGTTCTACTGATAGTACAACCGAAGCGAAGAGAAGAAACGTGATAAAATTATAATTTAAGCGGGAAACAATTATATAAAAGAAATCGTCTCTTATCAAATAAAGGTTGAAATATTCTTTTTTTTTCTCTACATCAGTTCGGGTAGATCCGTTGGATTTTGTAATTCCATCGGTATCAGTAATGGTTGAATGTGTTGTTTGTGTTCGTTCTGAAACATATGAAATGAACATTGAAAAGATCAGAGTTGCATTCTGAAATTCTCAAATAAAACCGTTGAAATGAATTATATTGTAATCCAATTTGAAAAAAATTATCATCATAATTTTGTTGATGATGAATACCTTCAAGCATTCTATTTAATAGTGAAAACATTCCGGGAATACCTCGATCATTTCTCGCACTTTTCTTTTCTCTCTTGGAAAGTTCAGTTTGTTGGTAAAAATATCCGAAATCGAATAATTGCAACATTCAAATTATGCAATCATTTCCTGTAAGGAAAAGATTATTAATGATTTCCAATAAAATTCCCAAGAAAATTTTTTGAAACTACCTTCTTAATGCCATTATCTGTTCACATATTCGAACATTTGAATCATAAAATCACAATTGTTATTTGAACAATCGAACAAAAAAAAAAGAAAAAAAAAATCGAATGTAAAATATAATGTATTTAGGGTATTGTAAATTTTATAAATTAATAAATGCAAAAAAAGAAAATCATTTTGCGTTAGTGTACATTTAAATATATGTTTAGTATTTAAGCAATTCAATCACTTGAATTAGCCATTGTTGTAATTTTTAGAAATGTCAAATGATAATGACACAATGGGAGTGAAATGTCGTATATGTTTAAAGATTTGTTCATTTATGGAAATGCAACAGATATTGCCATGTTTTCATTTGTTTTGTCGTGGATGTATCACCACTTTAACATCGTATCAAATGGTTTAAAATTTATAATAGCTCACTGATTTCATTTAATTTGAAATTTTCTTCCGAATAAGCTTCATTTCTTTTCTTTTTACTTTAAAAACAATTTTTTTTGACTGACAAGATGAATTACTTCTAATGAAATTTCGTAATTAACTTTGTTATATTTGTTTTAATAGTTTTCTAACTATTTTCATCTCCTCTTAATTTAATTTGGCATATATAACACAAATTCAATATGTGTCTTGGAGAGAGAGAGAGAAAGAGATGGAGAGTGATAGAGGGCAGGAAGAGAGTTTTCTTATATTTCAGAGTAATTAAAATAATATGAAATGATGACTTTCAGATTAATCAAAACGACGATAGGAAGCACAAAAAAATTTCTGCAGATATAGTAGTGGTATGCTTAAAATTTTAATTGAAAAAAGATTATAAAACTAATTAATTATTCAAGTATAACTACTATTACTTACTAATTAGTACCAAAAAAGAGAAAATTAATTGCTTAGCATTTGCTGTTCATTTAGACTTGCCCAGCAGCTAATTGCTATTCACAAATTCGTGGCGCTCTGGCGGATTCTCTTCCAATTACCATAAATTATTGTGATAATATACTGTGTCCAAAGTGTGTTTTGATCCATTTTTTTTCTTCGCTTTTGTTTTCAATAATTTATTTATTTAAAAGTTTGAATTTTTGATAATTTAAATTAAAAGAAAGGTTAGATTAATCACATTTGGCAAATAACAGAGTAAAACCAAAGGAAAAAATAAAAGCGAATACGAAGAAATAATTATTTGCAAAACATTTTAACCAAATAGTAAAGCAGAATCGAAAAAGTTTTAAAATATTGTGTTAAAATGTTGAATCATTTTCGTCATATCATTCTATTTCAGTTGCTAATTAAATTTACAGTAAATGGTTGTTTTCAAATTATTTATTCAATCACTTAATTTTGTGGTAAGATTTGCAATATCATATCAAACATGCTTTCAGTTTTAGTTCCATTTTTCTTTTTCATTTTAGAAAGTTATCACAATTTGAATCTATCCATTTAACTGCATGTCAACATGAACTTTGTACCACATGTCTTGAGGAATCATTACAACGGCAACCACCTGGTTAGGTTTCTTCTCTCTTTTTTTTTTGTAAATAGCAAAAGAAGTTTTAATTAAACCTTCTTAAAAATTCTGGAATTTTGATCACAATTTTAAATATCAAATTAAGTTTATGATCATAAATAGACATACGATTAATTTATAGCACTTATGAAGTAGACATAAAGAAATGAGATTGACTATAATTAATTGTTAATTATTGGTTTGATATTATTATTGCAGCTTGCATCGTCCAAAATTGCAATCAAAGTATTGCTGAAGTGGAAGATACATCATACTTTTGTGATGATTGTGGTAAGCAAATAACTGATCAAAAGACTTTGATCACTACTAACTGTTGCAAATGTCACATTTGCGAGGAATGCGTTGAAAATCGAACAAAGATGAAATTATTAAACAGTAAGTAAGTTTTATTACTATTAGCTTTTTATGATATAAGAAAAAGTTATTTTATTCGTTATTATTATTCTAAAATATGATCACTTACCATCCATTCAACTAGTTTATATTCTTTGAGGCAAATTTAAGTATTCATGTAAGTAAGTAAAGTAAAAATAGTTTCAATTTTTTTTATTTAGCAGAAATTGTACCATCAGCAAGAGTTATTTAAGATAGAAAAAGAAAAATTAAATTTTACAAAAATAGTTAACACTGGTATTTAATAAACAGACATAATGTTTATTAATTTTATCGATAAAGTGATAAGACATGTGGAATAATGCTTTTTTAAAAGGATTTTTGTAAATGACTTTTGACAAAATTTTTAATTTAATTACTGAAATTAGTCGATGAAAAGATTAAGCTATATCATTTTTGACCTATATAAAACTTCCAACAATATATAATTCATCAAATTCTATAAAATTTCCAGTAACAATCTAGGACGAAAAATTTTTCTCCAATTAATCTTGCTAAAGTTTCCAATAAAAACATTGAAAAATATTTATTTATTTATTTTATGAAGAATGTGTAAAATATGAAGTATTTTGCAGAAGAAAAATTAATATGTACCGATGGGAAATGTTTATTAAAAAAGAAAAAAATTGAAAATGAAGAGGTGCACATAATTTTCCTTTAATCATAATTTCAGATACCGTTTAGCGTACGTTCATTACGTTTCATATATTAAACATATTTCAGTATAACTTCAACGCAATGCTAACGCTCTGTTAGCAATATTTTAATACGTAAAAATGTTTAGGTACAAGTAAAATGTAAGGTAAAAGATGATTGTGAACATACAGCACTTAATGGTTTTCCGTCAAATTCCGAATGTAATCATGATGTATGCATTGAGTGTCTTACTGAAATGATTTCCGATTGTGAAGTAAACGGTAATCCGGTTTCTTGCTATTTCCGCGGACTGAATTATTGTTATGGTGATATTATAATATTAATGTATTTCATGGATGTGATTAATTTATAAAATCAATTTTATATTATAAGTTCAATAATTTCAGATTTTGTTTTGCCATTATCAACATGTATGAACACAATTTTATTAATCTAACCGTGATTTAAATTGGAATTTAAAAGGAAAATATAAACTTTTGTCTAAAAATTTTAATTTCACCTTCCTATACATTACGTAACAGGAAAATATTACCGAAGATGAAACGTGTTTTCCATAAAATTCGTTTTTAATAGGAGTGGCTCCAATGTGTCCTCAACCGTTATGTCATCAGTATTATACAATTGAATCGGTCAATGCGTTACGGACACTTTTTCCACAAAAAGCTGAATTCTTTCAACGATTTGATTTAACTGAGCGAAATACGGAATTTATTTGCAAAGATGATTCTGTTACAGTAAGAATTTCTACTTTTTACTTTTTTTTTTTTAAAACCAAATCTTTATAGTTAATTAAAATGTTTAAAATTTACACATCATTAATCGGCTAGTTAAAATTAGTTATTTTAAATTGTTAAGGGAATAAAACTTAACGACAGAGATGAATAAAATAGATGAATTCAGTCACGATTTTATTATTAATAAGATAATCATATTCTTTTAAAAATTAGAATAGATGATGGTTTCTCTTTTTAATTATTTACATATTTTATTGAAAATAAAAAATAAAAATTTAAACATATATTTACGTAGCAATACGATTATCAGGAAATTATTGAAATGTTAATAAAATTTTTGATTTTTAATTTTAGAGAAAATTCCGTGATAATTTTTTTTTTTGTTGCTAGTTTATCGATCTGTCATCTGAATTCGATTTCGCATCAAGACGTATGGCAGTACGGGTAATAGCTGATAGCGATGAAGAAGTAGAAGCAATTTTAATTTATGATAGGCAAGGTACCATTGGTGATTTTATTCGCGAGGTTCGCCATATTCTTAAAATATTACCTTATGAAAAAGTAAGTACAAATATACAAATTTAGTGATATTAATTTCGTTTATTTGTATAAAAAACTTAATTGCTGGAAGATGCGAAAAAACCTTTCCAAATATGTAAAAACTAAATTAGCTTATATTTGTTTTTAATGTAAATTTTTCACAAAACACGTCCTAATTCCATTAATTATTTCTATCTATTACTTTTATTACTTAACTCCATTAATTATTAGATACTATTTATTTCTTAGACAAAAATCATTAGTGGTATTTTTGCATTATTTAAATTTCTCTTTGACAATATTCTCATACTTTTGTCAAAAGATTAAAGTTCTTAAAGTTGACATTAATTTTTTTTTTCTTCTTCGACCTATTTATTTGAAGATATATGGTTATTTTATCAAACATGAAGATGATGGAAAAGATGAAAATGAGTTAGCTCAAGCTCAAGAGATTGCTACTGATGCTATATCATTAGCAAAATGTATCAGCGAATTAAATCTTACATCAACATCTGTTATTCATGTTGATACTGCTGGCATTGTGCAACGTAAATTATCAAACAAAATAAATATTTTAAAATAATTCATAAATTTATATTTCTTTCATCAGTGCTGAGTACTTATGGGATTTGTTAGCGAAGTTTTCCTGGTTTTGCAGAGTTTACAAATTTCATTCGCTAACAACTACCTTACACAAAGTACTAATCTTACTGATAATACACTGATAATTTCGTACAGGTATTACCTACGAATATGGGATGAAACAGAGGGAAGATAGGTGAGAATAAAAGGAGTTGAATATGAGTGAATTAAATGAGACAGACCGAACTGAAGAAACTTATTGATACTAAAGACGAATTCAAACAATACATTTAATTCATTATTTAGTGGGTATTAGCTTACAGAAAAGCGCACGATTGCAGGACTAAAGAGCTGTCATTCTCGAAAAATCTTTACACTTTATATGGTAAGGAATGAGTTTTAACTTATTCATAAGAATGACAATTAGATTGAAATACCTATACAATATTCAGACATTAAAAGTAAATTTAATTTAGATTCAACAACAATCAAAAAAAAAAATTAAGTTTTACTGGAAGATCTTAAGATTAAAACTGAGAACAATTTTCAAGATAATAAGCGATGAACGTATTCTTTGTTAACAAACTGTACGTACTCTTTGTTCTGGACAATAAGGCGGATAACTTAGCTATAATTGAAATTGTTGAATAAATGATTTCTTGCTGAAATATGAAATCGAAGCAGTTTTTTATTTGTCTAAGGAATATTTCGACATGTTATAATTCGACTTTACTGACAATCATTAATTAAAATTACCAATTATTATTTTTTCTTTTTCATTTCCTTTAATTTACACCAAAAAAAGTATTTAATTACGTTCGTTTTTTATTCACTATGAATGTAATGAAAATCTATAAACATTTAGCTAATTCTTGTTTCTAATTAGTAACTGTTTCTAATTGTAATTATTTAATGTAATTTTTTTAAAAATAAAGTGAGAACAGATTTCTCGCAATTTAATTTGAACATCTATTTTTTCATAATTTTCATTTTCTATTTTTATTATTTAAGTTTTAGTGCTTTGCATCACTTTCTTCTAATTAAATATTCAAGCTAAATTAATACTGAAAAATTACAGTAATTGACTTTAGAGTTTGAAAACTGAAAGGGATAGAAGAAAATATATGAAATTAAATGAAGTGTATTATACATCCTCACGAAAAAAAAAAAAAAAAAAAAAAACAAGATTAAGAAGTTTTTTAATTTTTCTTTTTCAACAAAGGCTTTCGCTTTTTCAAGAAATTAGCAAATGTTGGAAATATGATATTTTAAATTTTAATAAGCTTTTCAAAATCAAAAAATAAAAGAAAAAAAAATTAACTTCTTTTAGAAGCAGAAAAGAAAAATTATGTCGCATATGTGACTATCAAAAAAAAAGAAAGCTGTTTTCTCTGAATTAAGTAATTTCAAATGAAATATCAAGGCACAAGTAAGTGATTAAACTTTTAATTATTTATTTCTTTTATTATTATTACATATATAAACAATTTTTATTTCTCAAATTTGCTGTTTTGCTGTTAAAAATTTTGTAAATTAATGTAAAAATCTAATATTTCATGAATTTAATAAGTGATTTCTCTTCGTTTCCGAATGAAATCACTTCGTTTCATTTTAAGCTGAATTCATTTTGCTTCCATCTAGAGAATTCACTTAATTAAATTATTCGACTCATCTTTTGGTACTGTCTTGGGCGATTAATCATAATGGAAAATCGAACCATATTTGATTTTTTTTATTTGTCATATAGTGAGACTAATTTTTGTACTATTTGGATTTAGAAAATTATTTTTTTTTTAATTATTTTTTTTAATGAACTAATTTTATCACTTTTTAACGAATCATTTAGATATTTTGTCCAACATTACGCAGTCATTAAGTGTCAATTAGTTTTTATAAAATAATAAACAGTAGTGGGTAAATTTTTTAAAAATGAATAATGATGAGATAATGATATTGATTGATTATTACAATTAGTGCATTTAATGCAAATTTCATTCCTAATTAAATTTTTTTTTTAGTACATTTCAGCTTCACAACAATAAAACTATATTTTTTAACTACAGTTAATATTAGTACTAATACATGAATTTGAATTTTTTACTTAAGAATATTAATAATTTCATAGTAACAATTAAGACAATCATTAAGGTTATCAAACTTTGTATTTTTTCCTAAATTAATCTCTGTTATTTCTTATGAATTAAAGTTAATACATTTCAGCTTCACAGTGTTTCTTTTTTATTTTATTTACTTATTTTTTTGAGTTAGTATTTCTTAACATATGAAATTTTCGTCTTTTCTTGTTGAAATGTATTTGTTCGTTTAAAAAACGATAATTAAACAACATTTTATAAAAAATTCCATCAAAATGCTCTTAATAATGTAATCACTAGAAATTATTTATGCCAATAAATGAAATAATTATTTAGAAATAGTGTACAGTGCTGCACTCTATATGCAATAAATTCCATGCCTTTTTTAGCTTAAAATTTATTGAATTAAAAGTATTTCGTGAACATTTGGTCAAAAAACGACATTGATTAATTAATTAGTCAATTAATTAATTAAGTAAATAATGATTCCATTTTTTAGCATAAATAAATTTATTAATCAATATTTTATTACATATCATTTGTTTAATGTTTTTTTTGATTTGTCTTGCTACCATTAATTAGCTTGTTCGGTTTCAATAAGCTAAATAAGGTATTCATTTTATTTTGTCTATTTATAGATTATGTGATTATTTGAATCATTCATTTTTTTCTTCCAATCTTCTGTTTGTTTGTTTGTTTTCAGATTTAACTTAACATATCAATATTGTTACCACTTGATTATGTTTTTTATCTGTTTCATCAATTAATTGAATTTATTTTTTGTTCATTTTTCAAGAAATATATTAAATGGTAATTATATTCATTTTTCTTGACATTGTCTTTCCTATTTTGATTATTTTGTTCGCATTATGTAAAATTCACAATGTAAGCATGAAATGGTACATAATTAATTTATTGGCTGCGTACTGTATTAGTAATATTGGACGTAACATTGATGAACAGTTAGAAAAGTTATTACAACTTGATAATGTTATACATGAAATGTAAGTTTTTTTATACTTTAGTGTTGAATATTGCAAAAATAATTGGGAAATTTAAAAATTTTATAAAATTGAGCGAAATCATCGGAAAACAATGACAAATTAATCAAATAATGGAAGGTTTAGACAAATGCTAATGTCAATGCCAGCAATACATTATGTATGTAAATTTTAATTTATTAAATAATTTCATTAAAAAATCTATCTTTTATCTATCTTTTATAAACTCCAAATAAAACTTGTAAATAACAGTTTGAAAAATTAAGAAAAAATAACTTCAATGGAAAAAGTTTCACTTTTTTCAGCTTTCATTGGCTTGCAATATATTTGAGAGTGGCGTCATTTACGTTGATACGTTTGACATTATTCCTTTATATCTTTGAAATATACAGCATTTACACTCTTAAAACAAATATCATGGAAGTTTTTTATAAAAGGTTAATTGAACTTTCATTTTTATTTGTCACTATTTTTTTGTTATCCAAATTATAATTATAATTACAAGGTTAAATTAATAAAATATATTCAACAAATTAAGGTTTTCACGGATAAATTTTTGAAAAATTACAGATAGTTAGTTTTTGAAATTAACTCATTAAAAATAAATATAAATGTTTCATTTGTCAGTTTTTTCACGTAATTTCAAATGTTTTTCAGAAAATTACGAACATTTGCTTTTATTTATTTATGTACACAAATAATTTCAATCCCTGTCATAATTTCACACTTTCTTAAATTGTCAATTGTCAAATTTATTATGACAATATATTATGTGACAGTTGCCACTGTATATGTTAGCTCGATCGTAATAATAGGCTTTGTAAGTCATTACAGTTATTCTTTAATTAGTTTTAATGATGTAAAAAAAAAATTAAATAATAATTTGAACTTTTTCCTTTCCTCTCTCACTGAGTATTTACGAAAACGAAAAAATAAAGTCTCGCAGAATCCTTGTTTTCTTTGTTTTTTATAATATCAGAAAAGTACGAATTTTCTCAATAAATTCTGAAATACATAACTACAAATTAATTAGATACATTAATATCGATTAACTCATAGTCTATTTTTTTAAATATAAGTACATTTCCACTTTTCTTTCAATTGCAGGCAATTTATACCGTTTATGATCACAGATCATTCAGCAAAAATCAACGATTCAAGAAAGCTCTTACACCGCTCATTTTTTATTTCTTGCCGATTACACTTATTGATTTGCCAAGTGGAGGTGAAATTATTGAAATAAACTTATTTTAGTTACTATTTATTGCGTTTTTTTCTTCTGAAATAACGAATAATAAAAATATAAAACGGATAATAAATTTATAAAATACTTTTTTTTTAAAAAAAAAACTTAATATGAGGAAGTCTGAGCATAAATTACTGAATCAAATAAAAAATCTATTAATAATAAAAAAAATTTGATTACCATTTTTTTCTTATGACTAATTCGAAAACAACTAATCAATTTTATTCGAAAAGAAGCAACAAAAAAAAAAAATCGTTTCAAATAAATTTGTTAATGAAACAGATAAAAGAGTGATAAAAAATTGACTAAAATTCTTTTTTATTTGAATAATTTCTAGTTACCGCTGTTGCATCACTCATTGGTATTAATCGGAATATAATAAAAGTTATATGGAGAATTACTCTGATTGTTTTAATGGTGTGATTTAATCATTTACTCTTTTTATTCTTTTCTACTTATTAAATTAATTAAAAATATGAAAATATAATATCATCAAATAATTTCATTCATTTCATTAATTACAGATTCGTACACCGACCGTCGTTTTAATCACAATTTTCGTTTTACCACCATTTCGTAAAGCTTTTTTCGATTTATTGGGTATCAAACGTCGTCAGCAGATTACCGTAATACCGCTCCATAATAATTTCCTTATCTCTCGATGAAATGATATCATATCATATCGTATCGTATGACACTTACCCATATGCGTTAATAAAAAAAAATTACCACAAAATAAAAAAATTACCACAAAAAAGAAATATGAAAAGTAAAGACTAAGAGACCAAAATATAGAAACTAAGAGAACAGTGAAAATTAAAAACTAAAAGAAATCGATTTTAACAAAAAATTTAAAATGCGATTACAATAGGAAAAATAACAAGCAGAAATTATAACAATAATAATAACAGCGCTAACAACAAATGCAACGAAAACAATGGGCGAAATTTTTTCGCAAAAAAGCAAAAAATTCTAATAAAATTTTATTAATTAATCAATTAATTCAACATTACCATTACTTAAGTTTCAGTAATTTTCGAGAAGTTAATGCATAAATTAGTGATTGCAAAAAATCTGCAATATTTATAACAAATTTTAAGCAGAAGAATGTTGCCGTTTTTACAAATTATAAAAAAGATCAAAAAAAAAAGGATTATAAACAGTTTTCTTTTTAGTTTTTAATACAATGTGGTAAAAAAAGAAAATTCTCCTTGAAGCAAAAAATTTTTTGAACCAAAATAATAAATGGAATTTAAAAAGAAAATGATAGCAATTTTCCGCTTTTTTTCCTTTTTGTATTATTTTTTGCCATTTAATGATTAGAATTTGAATGATTTAAATCTTTTTTCCTTTTTAGAAATAATACACTTTTGCTTTATGTATTTTGTTGCGCTTTGAAGTAGATCCCGAATGTTAGAAATGAATGATTGTAAATTAAAGTTTTTAACTTTTTTTCTATGGAACATTTAATCCTGCGGATTTTTTCCACAAGAATTACTGTAATGATGGATTTAAAATATTTAAAGTATAATGCACCTTCATTTTTTTCTTTTCCTTCCCCTTTTTTAAACTTTCGTTCATCTAGCATTTGTTTTACTATTAACCTTCAAATCTGTAACTCTTGATTAACATTTTAAAATTGTATTTTAAAAAGAAAAGAAAGAAGAAAAAAGCGCTAAATGTAATTAATTTGATGATTTCATGTGACCGATACTTCTTTAGTAAATTATCAATTTTGTGGAGATCCATTATAATAATAGTAATAATACTACCATCAATAGTAGAAAACAATAATAGTAATAGTCAATAATGATAATAATATTATTACTACTATTGTTTATTATTGTCTTTTACTCACTTATATTATTGTTTATTTTGAACTTTTGACCAGGAAAATCTTGAAATTATTTATTTGAATTGAGGTTTGTTTACTGAATAAGGTGGGTGTTGCTCGCTTTCACGAAGTTATCAAATTGTTGAAAAAGGGAAATCAAATTTTCTTCGAGTGATTGGAATGTGAGCAGCGCAAATGACGTCAATTGAAGAGGCAGAATTTTAACTTTGACATATTTTAACATGAAGTATCATAGTAAACAAATGAAAAAGATATAAGTAATGAAGGAAATTCTGTTACGTTTCATTTAAAATAGACTAAATAAATTGCAATTCATTATGTAGAATTCTATATTAATTTAATAAATAAATAATTGCAACTATCAAATAAACTTCAAATAATTGAATAAATGAATAAATAAATAAACGAAGAAAATGTTAAATCTAAAAGTAATTTCCATTTTTGATACAAAAAATTACAAAATTTTATTGGTGTAAAAATTCAGTGTATAATAAGTAATTACAATAGAAATGCTAATAATAATGACAATAGATGATAATAATAATAGTAATTATAATAATAAATGATAGCTATAATGATTCTACTAATTGATGATTTGTGTCATGTAAATAAATTGTGAATTGTATTAAATAATCATGAGTTTTTGTTTAATAATGCTTATATTAGGTAAATGATGATTAAGCGAATAACGATTAATCAAATAATATGATTAAGCATAAAGTAATTATTTTAAAGTTATCTTTGTATTTAAAAAAATTTTTTTATATGCTTTAAACTTCAAAACTGTTTTATATAAAAAGGCATTTTGGAAAAAAAATGATAAAAATTATTTTCATGGAGTTACTAGATTTAATTTTCTTGTGCAAATATAACACAGAAGTTATCAAATTTTTAATTTTTTTTATCATTATGCAACTCAATTACTTTTGAACAAATTTTTTTTTTTCGATGCAAATAAAAAGAGAAAAAAGTATTCAAGAAATAATTAATTTTATCGTCGACGTTTATTCTAACAAACAACACCAACAATGATAATACAATAACGAATAGATGATTTCTTGCTTAATAATATTGTTTCTATCTGATAAAGGTATGTGATAACTGATAACGTTGAATAGTAAGGAAGCAATTATAATCAATTTTTCGAATTGTATATTGCTAGCATTGTTACGGATTGATCTTGCTTTAACGTATGCAATGAAATATGTGACAATTGGGGTGACATTCATCGCATAATTTGATACTCTCAGCATTTCTCATTTCACAAAGCTTTGCATTGCAAAAAAAAAAAAAAATTTATTGCCCTTGCTTGACGATTTTTATTATTTAAGCATTTCTTTTTCTTTTTTAAATAAAGCACAAATTATTAGCATCTGTTGACAGAGGGTGTTGACAAAACTCTTAAGTTATTTATAATTGATTGATTTAAAAGTTGAAACAAATTAAATTGTGAAAAATTTCCCCATTTAATACATTTAGCTTATCATCACTTCCATTTTGCTTCTTGCTTTTTGCAACAAAAATTCGATAAATTAGAGTTAGAAAAAGTGATTTCCGATTAGGTTCACTAATTAATTATTAATTCATTTTGCTGAATTTTATTATTGGTAAACAAATAAACTTATTTCATTTTAACGATAAAAAAAAGATATATTTGCTCATAATAATAATATTTGTTCTAAGAGTAATCTGTAAATGTTTGCAGAAATAATTGAGAAAATTAGTAGTAAAACTGAAATATAAAATTTGTTCGCTATATATTTATAAATAATTTAGATTTTTTCGTCACAAATTTTCTTTTCCAACATTGTGTGAATTTGTTTAATCTATCATTTATTTGTTTATGGATTAAAATTATTTATTTTTAAAATTTCTCTTTCTTTTGATTTGATTTGCTTCAGCTTTTATTTGTGTATTTTTCTTTTCTTCCTCATTTCTAATTTCGTTTAAATTTTTTCCTCTTTTCTTTCTTTTTTTCTTTCACTTATGAAAAAAAT